TATCTCTGTTCATGATCACCTTAGAAATGAACAAAAACTCTGATGTTTGAATATAGGATACTTAAGGAAAAAACACATTTAAAGCATTATATTCTCAAACTCAGAAAATATGATACAATCATTCACAATTCAGAATTGTTATAAAAATAAATTTCTATGAAGTTTTACCAGAAAGGACTTCCAATTTCCAGCAGTGTTTCTTCTTGATTTCTGTGTGTGCATTCATTACTGCTTGAGCATCCTCAGGAGTTTTAAATCTAGCATGGCATTCTGTATCTCCTTCTAGCAAATCAACATAAACAACTTCCGAGACTGCAGCCAAAGTATCCTGCATTGAAGTTTTGCAGAAAGTATTAAAACTAGTAATAAAAATGCTTCATAATAACTTTCAAATTATTCCAGTGGTTATATCAGATTATATGTCATTATACAGAGTAATGAGGAATAAATGCCTGATATAAATCATACCTAAAATATACACTAATGTTTTGACAGATATGGACAGAGAAGATGACCAATTAACAACAACTCTAATCAAAATTTATTTTCCTTTGTATCTTTACAACATTATTTTGAAACTATGAACTACAATGGGAATATTATTCAACAAGGGCAACACATCTGTAGAGCAGAAAGTACAAACAGTCTCCCCCACTATCACAGGAGAGGGTTCAAGTCCAGGGTTATTAGTAAAAGGAAACAAAAGGAAAAAAAAAAGATTTAGAGAATTTTTGTTTTCACTTACCTGTATAAAATCACTTAATACTGAAATCATGTGTAAAAATGTTTAAAGTTTTTAGAACAACTCATGGAAAAAGGTTTCTTTATTAAACCTAAAAAACACCCTGGGTTCTGCAGTGGATCTACCAGAGTACAGCTCAACAAAGGTTTTTGTTAAAATACCTAAATAACTTCTTTTAAACAAGTAGTGGTTACCCAACAAGGGAAAAGTCTTACATATAATGCCTGCTGTGAGGGCAAATTAACAAGATTCCTGCATTCTTAATCAACTTTTTTTTTCACAGCAGGTTCCACAGAGAACACAAAGCATTTATGCAGGAATGTTATGCTGCTAATTCGTAATTTACCATAAAGCTTCCATTCATAAAACTAAAGAAATAAGGAGATTGTCTACTGTAAAAAAAAGTCTTATCTCACTTTATTTTTGACACAAATTTTCAAGAAACAGCTAATTTAGATTATTCTTAGTTGCTGAATTCTTAGATGACTGTATTATGGAAAGAACTGAGCAATATCTGGAAATACTATTTCATCATAGACTAAGAAAAGTTTATTAGTTAGTAATAAAATTCCGTGAGTCTCTAGAAGCCACAGATGAGCTTAATTCATCCCAATACTTAGTTTACCATCTATCCCAAAACAAGCACTTAGTAAATATTTGCTTAATGATTAAAAAAAAAACCTGGAAATATACTTGCCAATTCTTCCCATTTTGTTATCAAGTAAATTAGTCCTAAATTTAGAAACAGAGCAAGAAAAGTGGCATTTAATTGGTGAAACCTGAACGTGTTCTCTGGTTGTAGTGAGTTTTATAACTATTTTTTTTCTGACAGATTAGAAGATATTTACTAAATATCCATTATAATGTCAGGCTAATCTCCTGATTTAAAACCCTTAGAATTTAAAACCCTTAGAATGATAAATTAGCCTGGAAATCACACTGGCAAGTCACAGACAGCAGTAATCACCATCGTAGCTCAGGTTTTGTTCCACGAAAAGTAAGTAACTACTAACTTGATTAACACAGTTATTTTATGATTCTGAGGATCATAAATGAAGAATGTGTAATTATTAATTACCATTCAGATAATGTCAATTGATTCCAAATAACAAGCTTTGAGTAATGTTTGTGTTAAATCATTTGCAATTTAATCACAGCAGAATTCATGTTACCACCCTACTCTGAAAGCAAGCTGCCCAATAACAATTTGGGATTGGCTAAATAACTTATCAATATTGGAAAGAAAGTAAAAAATTTATGTCTTGGTGATGGCTGCAGGATATTAGGGTAGCGTTTCAGATAAAGAGTGCCTAGACAAGATCACAGTGAACAACAACCAACCTCAGTGGTTACTAAAAAATGTGACTGGTGTGGTCCATGTAAAACAAAAACAACACATTACATGGTGCTGAGTATCAGTATAAAAGGATTAAGAAATATTTGTTAATGTTATAAAACATTTCATAAATTTAAAAAATAAGTGCCTCACCTAAATAGGTGACAGGGTTACTTGTGAGTAAAATATGGTAATCTCACACAAAGGAATATGATTTCATTGATAAGAAAGAAGTATTGCTATGTTGGTATAAAATGCTATAGAAGAAAAACTGCACAAAGTGAAAAAATATGATAGACCTGTATGTATGACAATTTGAGTATTAATAACATAGAACTATGGATTTAGTTGCACATAAATGTAAAATACTTTTCAAAAATACCTATAACTCTTTGAAAAACTTCAAACAATCACCACGGATTGAAAATACTGAAAAAAAAAAATTACAAGCCCATTTTCTAGAAAAGTTTCTGTATTCTTTCAGGACAAAGGCTTCATTAACAGACAAAACCAGGTCCATCGTATATTAAAAATATACATATTAATCATTTGGAAATCTATTAAAAAGTATGAATATCAAGAAAAGCAAATTTAAAAGTTCTCTTAATATGCTCCCAAATGAGACAGCATGAAATGATTACATTAAAAATGATTTCAGACCAGCTCTAATGTTGATTAAATCTTTAAAAATGTTTTGGTGCCAAATATTTTTCTAAAATCCATATTTAACAAATAAAGTATTCTAAAAAGTAAGTATTGGGAAAGCATTTCCTGTATCTAGAATGACCATAGGCTATTTTCTTATTCAATCTCACAGCAGACAACAGGAGTACCAGTAAAAATATGCACAAGTTGCAAATTTCCTGTACAGAAGGATGTTTGGCTGTTCAGTATAAATTCGATTCAGAGAGCAATTTGAGTTTAGATTTTGCTTCAGGTTAAACTCAAGAGTTACCACAGAGTCAAAATTCTAAAGGTAGTTCACCATAAAAATACAAACTGTAATTTCATTTATTTCTTATATTCAACCCATTTTCACATGGGGAAGCAAGAGGAGAAGAGGACAAATACTCCAGGGGTTCAAAAGCATTACCCGGACTTGTTTCCTGCCAGGCAGGGGCTCTGTGCTAAGGATCTTCACAATCACTCCACTCACAAACTGTGGTCCTGTGGCATTAACCTTCTCCTGGGGGCCATGCTCTTCACAGCTGGCTGTTGATTTCAAAAGAAAAGAGCAGGAATAAATCTCTTACACTTTACAACTGAACACTTAGGAGGAACACTTTAGAACCACAGGATAACTTAGGCTGATTTAAATGATTTACAATTTATTTAATATAAATACTGAATTTAAATAATGAAGGTTATATTGTATATCACACTACTCATTTCAGACTACCATGATATAAAAGGCAGAAGGTATTGTTACTGTTACTGTTAGAAGAGCATTTATAAAACTTTAGAAATTGCTTTTCTCTGAAACAAAGACCAAAAGAATGCTGCTCAATTAAGAAATAAACAGATTTAGAATATTATGTAAGAATATTCTAAATACATTATTCAGTTGTGAACATTTATAATTTGTAGGAATTTTAAAAAGATCCTAATGTTGAACAAATTCTTGCTTGTTCCTGCTTTGGCTTTTATTATGAAGTTAGAGGTTAGAAGTCATATTTCTACAAAGTAGGCATTCATTGATTAATAATGAAAATGGTAGTGATAGCTCTCATATTACTAAAAAACAGTGTTTAAAACGATCATACATTTAAATTATATTATGGTACTAGAAAAAAACTATCATAGTGATCTTCACCATTTTCAGTTTTCATTCCAGACTTTTTAGGTACTCCACTTTCTGTTTCCATTTCTGACCCCGATTTTATTTGGGATATTGTCTTCTTTAAAGAAGCCATGCTGGCTTTCTGTAGTGCCAAATATTCTTTTTTTAAATCCATCCATTCGTTCCTGTAAGTAAAAAAAATGAACTACTGAAATAGTGACATGGGATAACTAAATAAAAAATATGGAAACATCGAAATACACACATTCCCAGTGACTGTAAACACTCCTCCTACCAACTTTCCTCTTTGTTTAAATGCACACTCAGATAATTTCCTAGGTCCTAAATCCATCTAGCAAGCAAGGAAAGGGAGTGCCTCAGGCCCCATCATTCAGATTAAATGTTTTAAATTGACTGATTAAATTCTTTGGTGTGTTTCAAATATTTTAAATCATGAAGGTAAAGTTTAAGAATTCTTAATTAATTAATAGCATTTATTCAATCATTCATCTTTCAGGATAAGTAAAAGATTAAAATTTAAAGATGATTTGTTAAACTGCTTCCAATTTGAGAGATAACATTCCTATGCATTTACTCAAAGCAAAAGGAATTTCTGAGAAGAAAAACACTCCATGGAAGCAATTTATTTATTTACATATATTTAACAAGTAGATGTTTCCTCAAACAGCTAGAGCTCCTCCTGATAGAAACACAATGCATCCCCTGGCTCAGAGGGAACAGTCATTGTTACCCTAATCTATGCCATCAAACAAGCAGATAGGAGATTTTTTTTTTTTAAGAGGAGGATATCTAGTGGTAATGGTTTGAGCTGTTAACATTGACATCTGTATACTTCAAAACAAAAAAAAAAGACCAGATCCACCCAGGATCATACTTTCCCTGAGAGCTGATACATTAAAATAACAAAAGGCTCTTGTAATGATTCCCCCAAGATAAAAAGGCAAAAGGAATTTCGGAGTTAAGAATAGTATAAATAGAAGTGGCTGAAGTCCTGTCTTTCACCCTTCCACAGGAGAGCAAGAGTCTGTGCGGACTAATTCAAGAAGGTAAAGAAAAACTCTGAAAAGCTATCTCGTTTTTGTCTTTTTCTACTCAGCTATCGCTCCTTGGTTGAAGGGTGGACTCCCTTCAACTTTAACATGGAGGTGCTTTCTGTGACTTTCGTTAGAAAAAGTAAGTGCTTCCATGTTTTAGTCGAAGTGAATTCAGCTTACTCCTACAAATCGAGTTTGGACACCTTAACTTTCCGAGGTTGAATGGATCCCCTTTGCTTTAACATGGGGGTACCTGCTGTGTGAAACAAAAGTAAGTGCTTCCATGTTTCAGTGGAGGTGTCTCCAAACCGACCCAACTTTTGTAAAATTTTCCATTGTTATAAGCTTTTTACTAAAATTTTCTTACAGGTTACAGGATTCCAAGTTTTTCTAAAGACTGGGCTCCCCACCACTTAAACGTGGATGTACTTGCTTTGAAACTAAAAAAGTAAGTGCTTCCATGTTTTGGTGATGGTAAGTCTTCTTTTGCATTTTTAGAAGCCCTAGAGTACTTTCTTGAACTATCTTTATTAAGTTTCAGCTGTATTTTAAAGTCTGCTAAGGTGCCCTCTCTACTTTAACATGGAGGCACTTGCTGTGCCATGATAAAAATAAGTGCTTCCATGTTTGAGTGTGGTGGTTCCTACTAGCTTCAACTGTTAATCCACATTGTGTGTAGATCCTGGTTACATGCCATTACTGTTGCTAATATGCAACTCTGTTGAATATATATTGGAATTGCACTTTAGCAATGGTGATGGAATGTTTTCAAAGGCTAATGAAAGAGAATAACATACTTACTTCGATAGTACTCTCAATGGTATAACCTCTTCTCCCATTTTGTGTCTCTCTTTGTGTTTTTTCTTATGTTTCCTTTTCGTTTTTAAGAGGGAAGCATCTTTAATATCCCCGGTATCCTTTTCTTCTTCTGTGGAGAACCCTAAATCTAGAGAAATCAGAAACTCCGTCACTAAGACATTTATTGCGAAAAATGGTGAAATACAAACTTAAATTATATGTACCTCTGTTTTCTTTGGAAACCTCTGCTTCATTTTTAATGCTATCTTTCTGGGCCGTTTTCTTTACTTTTGACTTGGGAGCCAGGCTTTCTGTGTCTTCAGAGCTACTTCTCTTTCTCTTCTCTGTTCTGACTTCAGGTAAGTTGGACGTTTCAACCCTTTCCCGTTTTTTCTTTTTCTTTGAGGGCTGCTTTTGGGGTTCAGCATCTGCTTCAGAGCCCTCAGATGTAGCCCTCGAGGTTTTTTTCACTTTGCTCTCATTGCTTGTGTCCATTGTTAACTCTTGGGTCTGGACATTATCTTCCTTCTTCCCGCGTCCTTTCTTCTTCTTTTTCTTTTTCTTTTCTTCTGCAACAATGCTATCATTAGTTTTATTTTATTTTGCACCTTTATTTAAATATTAATTAAGTAAAATACTTACCAGCTACTTGTAGGGCTGGAATGGGCTTGTCTTTGACTGTTTTTGGAAAAATGCCAGGTTTTCTTGGTGCTTCTTCTGGTGGGTTGTTAAGAAACTGAAAGATTCCAAGTAAATTTTACTACTTATTCCTGAAATTTTTACTTTTTTTTTTTCTTTCTAGGACCTGGACTTACTTACCTCAATAGCTTTTGCTGCTTGTTCTTTGGTTTCAAATTCCACAAAAGCAAATCCTTTTGGATCTCCAGTAGATTTATAATGTGGTATACTTACATAAACAACATTGCCACATTTCCCAAATACTCTTTCAATCCAGCTGTGATTAACATTTTTGGGGAGTAATTCCTGTGATAAATTAGAAACAGTATTAACATGTAATAACAGCCTTTCACAATTCTTGTATGTCAATAAATTTTAAACTTAAAACACTAAAAATGTGTCTGTCATTCTACTAGGGACCTGGGTTCTAAGCTTCTCAAGAAATGGCTTACCACATACACAGTCCGCTCATCTTCATCTTTTGGTCTTTCACCCAGAGGTTTTTTCCTCCTGATTCTGGTGCCTTCTAAATCCAGCTTTAGAACCAAATATTAAAAATAATTAAAATATTAAAAATATTAAAATAACTGAAATAAAATTGCAGTAAATGTAAAATTTAAAAATTACCTCCACAATTGCTGAACTTTTCAATGCTCTGGCTATTAACTTCCCATCAGTAGTCAGTTTTTTCATTTTGTTAAAAGACAGGAGAAGTGAAATATCTACATCTAACAAAAGTGCATAAATATGATAGTAAAACACTGAGTCTACACCATCTGTGTAAATACAATTTTTGATTGAATACTTTTGAAAAGTTGTATATACAGATCTTGTAGAAATTTAGAAATGACACCTGAGAATTAGACTGGGTGAAATAAAATGCCTCTCACGTAAAATATTTGAATTGGTATTTTGCTGCTTTTAAATCTGGGCAGCAGATAAAATAGGAATTCATTTCTTACCCAGTTATATACATTTATTTATACATAATTATTTCTATACTTACATCCATCTCTTGATTTTTCTATCTGTTCACGAAGGAATCTATCTTTGTGGAGATTTGCATCCCCAAACCAGAAGTCTACTTGCTTAGCGATGTCTGCAAGCACCTGTTTAACTCTAGACCTTTTCTTTTTTTCTACATCTTTTTTCTTGTCAGTGCTTTCCTCTTCTATACCCTTTTGATTTCCATTTTCAGTTTCCATTTCTGTGAATTAGAAAAGTAAATCACAAATTATAGTCAAAATGGGAAAAATCCAAATATTAACTGCCTGTCAGAATAAAAGTACCTTTTAGGTAAAACATCCTAGCCTAGTGACAGTGGATAAAGGAAAATAAACTGCTTGCTTGATTTTGAAAACATCTGTTGGTTCCTATAAGCAGTGAGTTCAACTCAAAGCTATAGAATTAGCCTTTTGTTTTTCAAGCCTTTAGTTTCCAACCCCTTTACCTCACCTTTTGTTCCTTTAGCTTCAGCTATAATTGGTCCTCATATCCTGCAAACTCTATGGTAAATCTTCTGAATTTACAGTCTCCCTGAAACACTCCCTTTATTTTTCTCCACAGAATTTATCATCTAACATTTCAGCAGTTTAAACTTCCTTAATTCCTGGCATACCTTCAAAAATAATTACATAAAAGCATCAGGTTTAATGCTGGCCAGTCTGAGATTGACTTCAGGTTCCCACAATATGGTTTACTTTATACAGGGTCATTTTTAATCAAACTGAAATCAACACAGTATTAAAGCCTATTTCTGTCTCAAGTCTGACTGCCAGCTAGAATCATTAGTTGTACAGCGGTACTTCTGACATAACAGAAAAAATGTTTTTCAAGCAGAATTTGGCTTCTAAAACTCCAAAGCCTTATACTATTGATTGAGGATGACCTAATTATAGTATTCAATGGTGGGATCTTTGCAAAGGTTATTAGGTTGCTGAGGTGAGCCCATGACTTAATCATGAAGAGAGGCACAGGGACACAGCATGCTCTGTGTCTCTGCTTCCTGGTCCACTATCCTAGGGCCTCACAAAAAGTTGACTAATACTCAGTATAAAGATGTTAATAAAGAGGTTAATGACTCTCACCTCAAATCTTCAAATATGCAGGCCAACAAAAGTTAGCAGAAGAGTATTTTTTACAACAGGCTTCAGCTGATAATCAGGCACCACTTAAAAAATATACATTATGAAGTATTTAGTTGATGGCATAAAAGGTAATAATTATTAAAATAATCAGGTGTTATTTAGTATCAAATAACTTCATTTCTTCATATTCTTACTTCTACCCATCCTATCAGACTTTTCTTCATACTATTCCAGTAAAATTGCAAAGGCATTAGTGAGCCCCACTGTCTACAAAAACTTTCAATAGCATTTGCAGTTGATAATTTCCTCCTTGAAAATATCTTCTTTGTATCGCTTCTAAGAGAGTTTTCCTTCTGCTTAATTTCCTTTGCAGACTTCTGGGTTCTACCTTTACATGCTGCCTGTGATTGGACTAGGTCTTGAACATCCTTCCTATTTACACATTCATGCTTTCTGAGGGTCTTGGCTTTAAGTGGCTATTTTAGTGTAAGGCCACCACAAAACACACCAAACACCAGAGTAAGGGAAAGGGCTTATTGGGGCAAAGAAGGAAAAAGAGGGAGAAGGAGAGCATAAGAGAAATCAAGAGAGAGAACGAGACAGTCATGCTTTCCAAGGATCTTGGCTTTAAGTTCCACGGCTTTATGTGGCTATTTCACATTTTCTCATTAGATCCCCACTCCAATGTCCAATGGTCCATCTGACACTGCCATTTGTTTATGTAAAGCACGAGGTGGGGATAGGAGGATGGGACCTTTTTTTTTCTGCCAAGGGCCATTTGGATAATTATAACATCATTCACAGGCCACACAAAATCATCAACTTAAAAATTAGCCTGCTGTAGATTTATTAAATTTATAGAGTCCCACCTGTGGTTGCCTTGACAAGGTTGGCCAAAGGATTCCTGGGTCTTTCTTATATGGCCCATGTTCCCCACTCCTGATCTAAAGGATATCTCAAACTTAACATGGCAAAAATAGAACTTACAGAGTTAAAACAAACCCACTCTTTCTTCAGCCCTGCCCCAGTTTTCCCTATCTCAGAGTCACCAATTACAAAAATGCTAAAGAGGGCAAAAATCCTGAAATCATTTTGAATTCCTCTTTACCACAAACCCCACAGTCAATTCATCAACATTTCCATTAGCTTTACCTTTAAACCAGACCCTGAATATGAATACCTGTTACCCCTTTCACAACTATCTCATCCAAACAATCATCATGTCTTGCCTAAACTACTGTTAACATCTTCTATACTAGTCAGCCTGCTTCTACTCTTTTTCCTTTATACTCAATTCTCCAGATAAATTAATAATTTAAACATGTAAACCCATTATGAGAACTCCATACACAAGCTCCTGCACAAGTTTCTTAAAATAATTTGACTGTTTATCTACCTCACTAGAACTTAAATGCTATGAGAGGACTTTATCATTATCTAAGTATCTGTTGAATACTTAAATAAAAATTATTTAAAATTACTTGTGAAATGTTAAACATTTCAAATTCTTTCGTAAGTCGGTAGACCATAAATAAAATACAACGGGGTTGGTGCTGTAGCAAGTAAAGCATCCCATATGGGTGCTGGTTCGAGTCCTGGCTACTCTTCTTCTCTGGCTCCTTGATTCTGTGCCAGGAGCCCCTATACCCATGCAGGAGACTGGGAAGAAGCTCCTGGCTCCTGGCTTTGGACTGGCCCAACTCTAGCTGCTGAGGTTATGTGGCAAGTCAGCCAGTGGATGCAAGTTCTCTGTCTTCCTGTAAACTCTGCCTTTCAAATAAATGAAATAAATCTTTTTTTTTTTTTTAAAAGGTACAAGTGTAGTCTATGATTATCACTGTAGCAGGCTCCAGTGTCAACAATGAATCGTAAGGAGCAGACAACCTGTTTTCCAACTAGTTTCCTTGTCTGAGCCACCACTTAAGAAGCAGTGGACAGAGCTGCACATGCACATAAGTCACAATTCTCCCAGAAAACTTTCCCCTCCATTTTCACAGCTCAGCCCAAAGACTCCTTCTTTCTTATTAAAAGGATTATTTTTGTGTCTTACAGTATTTAAGCTCAGACTGATGAAATATTAAATTAAAAGACAAAGACTAAACAGAAAGTGATATAAGAAATGGTTAAATTTACTTTTCCCAAACAATGACTGCAGAAAATCAGAGTTATATATTGTGATTCCACACATTCCAAGTCTCCAACTCTCCTCCCCAGGCCTGCTTTACCACCATGCTCTTACTTAAGGATATCTATTCTATCAAGCTAACAAATCATGCTATGTACTAGTTGCACAGATTTTGAGCAAGTTACCTCATCTATGGCCTATAAAACATGGATAAAAATTATAACCACATAATATGGCTGTTGTGAGGATTAATCACAATAATGGAAATGAAGCACTTCAAATTGCTGCTTTACAGAACATACTCAATAACATGTAATCATTATCATGATTTAGCACTCTAAATCCTATCAATTTGACTTCTCATTTCCTTTGTTCCTTCCTTCCTCCTTCCATCTATCCATTCATTATTTTCCACTACTGTCACTAGTAACAAGATAACATTTGATAAAGTATCCTAGCAGCCATACACAGAAGCCTATGTGTAACTTGTCTGGAATGGATTCGTTTTTCTGAGATTGATGTCAAACCTCAACATCAGAAATTCTTTGGCACTTTTCAATGACATGCATTAAAAGAAAAAAAAGAAAACCAACCAATCTGGCTTCTAAATATAGGCTTTAAACAAAGAATAAGTTACTGTGTAACAATGCCAGTTACTCTACATTGTTCTAAAGCCTCAGAAACCCACTAGGTAGTTTATTTTCACAGAAACTCAAAGGTTAAGTGACTTGGCTAAAACCAGCTGGGTAAGTGAGCCCAAGTCTGACTCTTAATTCCTACTTTCAGTAGAGCCACTTGTAATTTGTTACTAGCATGCTATGTTCTGACCCAGGAATTCTTTCTTTTTAGATCTAGGTGATTACAATTTCCTTTACTTCTTTCTCTTTCAAAGGCCAGAGAGAGCGAGATCTCTTCCATCTGCTGGTCCACTCTCCAAATGCTTGCAACAGTTGGGGCTAGGCAAGGCTGAAGTCAGGAGCTAGGAATTCAATTGGGGCCTCCCATGTGGTGACAGAGACCCAATTATTTGAATTACCATCTGCTGCCTTCCAGGGTGCCAGGATGTGCTAATCGGGAAGCTAGATAGGAAGGGGAAGAGCTGGGACTCAAACCCAAGAGATCTGACAGGAGTTAAGATGCTGTTCAAGCAGCATCTGATCAGCTTGGACAAAGTCCTGCCCCTCACGCAAGGCTTCTTGTGAACTTGGCAGTTACATTGTGGGGCAGTGAGTTAAGTCACCAAGTGGGACTTAGACATTCCTAATCCTGGAGGCCTGGGACGGAGTCCCACCTCCAGCTTCCTGCTACCCATGGGGGAGACCGGGATGGAGTTCCCGGTTCCTGTGTTTGGCCTGGTCCAGTCCAGCCTTGGCATTTGGGGAGTGAACCAGAGGATGGAAAACATCTCTTTCTCTCACTCTCTGTCCCATTGCCTTTCAAGTAAATAAACATTTTTCCGAACTTCATTAAACTGCGAGGTAATAACTACATCTCCACTAGACAAACCTGATTTCCATTTATCATTTTCTACAAGTTACACAACTGTAAAAGAGCTCAATGACAATAAAAGGCATTGATATCTCGGAGGAGTTAAACAAGACCCCAAGTAATTATTTTTTTTGCCATTTCGAAGTCTTTCACACATTTCCTAGTAAAATTAAACAGAAAATATTTTGATAAGTATATGCACATTCTCTTGGGAAGCTGATGCGTAACTTTTATCACTTTTTCAAAAGAACTCCTGTGTCTAATAAGCCCCTATTCGGTTTTCAAGGCTCAGGGTAGGTAGCATCTTAACTTCCACCGCTACCTCCTCCTCAACTGCCCGACTTGTTTTCCCCAAGTACCTCTAGGAATGCTTTTGGTATGCAGTACTTAGCACTCATTGCTAGGTCCTTCTCACAACTAGATTTTCAACTCTTCGAGGAGAAAACTAGAGTCGTGTAAATGAAAATGACTTAGAATACAAGTTCTCACATGCGCTATCCTTTGGCAGGCAAACTTCAACTCCAACTGGCAAAATAAAGCACTTTCCCTAGCACCTACTGATCTTCTCGGCACCCGTACTTCCTTAAAGACGCCGGCAAGCGCTGGGCGTGCCCCAAACCTCGCAACGCCGGGCGCTATGCGCCCCCACTCTCCGCACACTGGAACTGCAAGAGCTAGCAGAGGACTTCTGCGCGTGCGCACAGAGAACTAGGCCTAGCGAACCCAAGGTAGCGTGGGAGGGGGCGGGACGAGATAGCCGACACATGATAGAATGAGCTGCTAGAAAAGAGACTGAGGATTAACACTACTCAATGAACGCGACTTCGGGGCCACTTGCAACTTACTCGATTCAATTCTAAAAATACAGCGTCAGCGACGGCGTCCTTCAGCCCCTTCCGTCTCCTGATGCTTAAAGTCGTAGTTATTGCGCGTCATAGGATAAGCGACACCACACTCTCATCCTCTTCAGAAAGACGGGCCCGGAGGCCGTACGTCCGCCGCCTACGTCACACGCGAGGGCTGGCTCCAGGAGGGCGGGACATCGGAGAGCGCGACCTGCCGAGGCGGCTGGAAGCCAATGAAGATTTTGATTGGCGGGTTAAAAATGGCGGTTCTAGGTGAGGCGGGGTGAGCGGCCTCAGTTTGGGTCTTCATCCGGTGTGGTCCCGGTTTGATGACGTCACTAAATTTTCGCGGGAGAAATTCGAAAAGTGGATTTTGTGCAGTGGGACGAGGTGAAGTGGCTTTCGGGGTATCTGGGAAATGAAGGGTGGACAGTGAAGGGGACTTGAGCGATTTAGGATTAGGGGCCGAAAGAGTCCGTTCCGCAGAAGCGGACCGGGAAGAATGCTGTTTGGGGCCGAGATGGGGGCGGTAGCAGGCGCAGCTTGCCCGGACCGCCCGTGGTAATTGGTGTCTCCTCTTCAAGTCTTTTGTTTTGCAATTCCGCCTGCCCGTGAGGACCAGAGGGGTATTGCTGTTTGTTTTCATGACCCTAAAGTCTATCTCTATTGTCCTTCAAAACAACGGCTCAGATTTATTAGGATCTTGGCAAATGACGTGTGGATTTCCTTTGGTTGTTTGTACTGGTTGGTTTCCTAATAGGATGTTGAGCTCGTATTCTGAAACTTTTAAGTTTGAACCGTTAAGGAGTTTAGGTTTGAAACATACTGCTTGTTCAAAAACATGGGAACCAGAAACATCTTGTAATTTACAGGAAAAATGGCTCATTAAAAAAAAAACGATTTATTGTATGTATGTGAAAGAGCTACAAAAAGATCTAGAGCCAGAGATAGTCTTTCATCCGCTTGGTTCACTCCCCAAATGGCCACAGTAGCCAGAGCTGAGCTGATCCTAAGCTGGGAGCCAGGAGCTTCCTCTGGGTCTCCCATAGAGTGCAGGGCCTCAAGGAGTTGGGCATTTTCTACTGCTTTCCCAGACCATAGCAGAGAGCTGGATCGGAAGTGGAGCAGCGGGAACTCTAGCCGTCACTCATATGGGATGCCAGTCCTGCAGACCAGGGCTTTAACTTTCTGTACCACAGCCCTGGAAAATGGCTCATTTTTAAAAACTGAGAACACCCAGTTTTGCATATGTAATATAACAGCACCATAATATATCTGTGTGTATGTGCATATATAATTATCACTGAACATTTGGAATCTCCACATCATTTTAAAAAGTTATTTGCTGATTTATCTTTCACGGATTAGGAAGTGGGTCACCACTTGAATTGTCTGACAAATGTAGACAGATTAGCACTAAGAAAAAAAATTAATATCTTTTTATTTAGAAGATAAGACAAACACACAAACCGATCTTCCACCCTCTGATGTTGGCCAGGACTGGACCAAACCAAAGCTGGAAGCCAGGAACTCCATCTTTGTCTCCTGCATGGGTTGCAAAAGACCCAATTACTTGAACTCCCTGCTAGGATGTACACCTGTAGGAAGCTGGATTGGAAGAGGAACCAGGATTCCAACCCAGGCAATACCAAAGTCAGGAGCCAGGTGCTTCCTCTGTGTCTGCCGCATTGGTGACAGGGGCCCAAGCACCCAGGCCATCCTCCACTGCCTTTCCCAGGCCATTAGCAGGGAGCTGGATAGGAAGTAGAGCAGCCTGGACACGAACCAGTGCTTATGGGATGCCAGCATTGCAGGTGGCAGCTTTACCTGCTGTGCCACAACACCGGCCCTAGTTTTTTTTAGGCGTAATCCCAAAGGCTCTTTTTGCCATCATAGAGAGTTTGACCCTTCTCAGTTCCTTTTACATTATAAATCCCAGAAATACCTCTAATGTAAGAAAATAGGCGAATTTATCTTTAATTTCTAAATAGCTCATAAGTAGTACTAAAATCATAATTACTGGATTTCTAACCTGTAAATTGTGATGATAATACTCTTCAGGATTATGAAACTGATAACTAAATTGTCCAATTCTCACCTGACACATAGAAGGTATTTAATAATATTATTTGAGTATGCACACCAATGTTTAGACTACTGGGCTTTAAATTCTGAACCTGCCATTTATTTAGTTTTGAAATTGGGCAAGTTATTTGACTGTTGTGTACCTCAATTTCTTTTATAAAGTTTATTTTAATTTTATTCAAAAGAGAAACACATCTTCTGTCCCGTGGTTTACTCTCCTAATGCCCATGACAGTTGGAACTGGGCCAAAAGAAAGCCTGGGTCTTGGTGGCAGAGATCAAGGACTTGAACCATCACTGCTGATTCCCAAGATGTGTGTTAGCAGGAGCTAGAAGTGGAAACAGAGCCAGGACTTGAACCCAGACCGCTGTAATAATGGGATGTAGGTGTCCCAAATAGTGTCCTAATGTCTGTGCTAAATGCCAAACCTTCAGTCTCTTGTAAAGTGTATATAATGGTAGTATGTACATTGTAACCTTATAAGCATTTAAAGCATTTTTACCTGTGTCTAGTATATAGTTGCACTGAAAAAATGACATATATTATTATAGAGATGAGCATTAATAACTGCCAACTGTCAAGCACTGTGTCTGCACCACGTGTTTTCATCTCTGTACCCAGAATATTAATTCAGTTCCAGGGGACATTGTGCTCCAAAAGCATCAATGTTGTGTTTTCTGGACCTCTCTTATCTTTTTGGCATTCTTAGGCATCTAGTAATTCCTGGGGGCTGGAGGGGAGGGCTGTAGGATATAAGAGTTAAATCTCTGGAAGGTAAAAGCTCTGTCAGTTTAGGTCCTATCCTATGGCAAAGATCACTCCAGTTGCTGAGTGGAGAGATGATGAGATAAGGGGTAGGCAGATGAGGTAGGCATAGGATCCCCTCACTGCCTGAAGATGGAATTATTCAAAAAAAAAGTGTATCAGTACTGAACATTAATAGGCTTTTCTATTTTTTCTTTATTCCTTAAATAATATAGTATAGCAATTATTTATATATCATTTATATTACAATATGTATTATAAATAATTTAAAATTGATTTGAAGTACATAAGAAGATATATGTGACTTATAGGCAAATAGCATCCCATGTTATATAAGAGACTTTGGAATCTGCATATTTTGGTGTCTTCAGGCTGTGAGGGGATTAATCTTCATTGGGCACCAAGGGATAACTATAAATGGAAAAATTGAAAACACAAGGGGGCCATCTTGTGGTGGCTGTAGCAATTTAGAAACCTTAAAAAATTGAATTCTGGCTATAAGAACCAAACATGTAGAGGGGAAAATCAGTTTTCTAATATGTGTTATGGCACTTGGAAAAATGTTACTGGCTGTTCATTAGTTTGTGTATTTTACTTAGTTTTTTCTTTACTTGGTGAGTTCTTTTTCTATAGCGTGGTATCACTTTTAATGGGTCCCTAATGACAAATACATCTCTGCATATCTGTTTCCCTTGGTAGTTAGAATAGTCTGGGCACTCTTTGATTATTGTCTTTGATCAAGAGTTTATAGGGAAGGATTATGTTTGATACTTATTCTCATCAGGGTTAAATATTCTGTCATTTTCTATTTTAGATAGCATAAATAATTGAATAACCACTGATTATCTACTGGTTTTACATTCAGAAGAAACAATGGAATGCCAAGAATTTATTGTAAGTCCCTACCAATTTTCACAGTTTCCTCCCTTCCCTCCCTTCTCCTCTCTTCCCCAATCTGTCCCTCATCGCTCCCTCGCTTCTCCCTCTCTCCCCTCCTCTCCTCTTGTTTTGTTTTCTTTTTTTTTGTTCCTTCCCCTCCCATCTTGTTTTGTTTTCTTGTTCCCTCCTTCCTTTCTTTCTTTCCATAAGTGTCTTACTAGAGTTGTCAGATTTGGTAAAAATAAACAAAGTTAAATAAAACAATAAATAAAATAAAACAGTTAAATAAAAAAGTTAACCCAGTTAAATTTGGGTTTCAGATCAACAGTGAATACTTTTTTAGTATTAAGAATGTCTCAAAAATTGTGCTATGCTTTTTCTGGCAACTCTGTCTCTTACCAACCATTCATATTTGTTATTGTTTGTAACAAATTTTGGGGGAGCTTGGGACCAGGAAACATTTCTTTTTTAAGATTCATTTATTTAGTTGAAAAGCAGTAACAGAGAGAGAGAGAGAAAAAGAGGGAGCGAAAGAAGGAAGGAGATCTTCCATCTGCATGTTCACCCACCCAGTGGTCACAACAGTCAGGCCTAGGCTAAGTTGAAGCAAGGGCCAGGAACTCCCATCTAGATCTCCCATTTGGGTGGCAGGGACCCAAACATTTGGATTATCTTCCACTGTCTTACTAGAGACATTAGCAGGGAGCTGGATGGAAGTAAAGCATTCAGGACTTGAAAACGTGCTCATATGGGATATTTGCATTGCAGGCAATGACATAACCCATTGCAATACAATGCCAGCTCCAGTTTCTGTTTCTTGAAGGCCTACTATGCCTCTTATAGAATAGTGGTTCTCTAACTGTTTAGTATCAGGACTCTTTTGTACTCTCAAAATTATTGAGGACCCCAAAGAACTTCTATATGTAAATCTTATATCAATAATTTTCATATTAGAAGTTAAAACATAAATTTTAAAAATATTTGTGAATTCACTTAAAAATGTTGATAATAAACTTTTTTAAAATTTATTTTATTTTATTTTTGACAGGCAGAGTGGACAGTGAGAGAGAGAGACAAAGAGAAAGGTCTTCCTTTTACCGTTGGTTCACCCTCCAATGGCCACTGCGGCCCGCGCAACACGACTGGTGCACCGCGCTGATCCGTAGCTAGGAGCCAGGTGCTTCTCCTGGTCTCCCATGCGGGTGCAGGACCCAAGCACTTGGGCCATCCTCCATTGCACTCCCGGGCGACAGCTGGCCTGGAAGAGGGGCAACCGGGACAGAATCCAGCGCCCCAACCGGGACTAGAACCCCGTGTGCTGGCACCGCAGGTGGAGGATTAGCCTATTGACCCACGGCGCTGGCCAATAATAAACTCTTTACATGTGAAAATAAGTACTACTTTTAATGAAAAATAGCTGACTTTTCTAAAAAATAATAGCAGATAACCTAGGAGAGTAGCACTGGTATACATTTTATGTGAGTTTTTATCATTTGACTTCACAGAAGACAACTAGATTCTCATATCTGTTTCTGCATTCAATTTGCAATTGATTTCTGTTATAAGGCATATATAGCCCTGTGAAGCAGCATTCTGTACTCCTGAAGGAATGACAGTGAAAAGACAAATAACACTTGAAAATAGTTAAAAAAATTTTTTTTTCATTTGTTTTTAGTTGACGGACAGAGTTCCCATCTACTATTTCATTCCCTAATTGCCTACAGTAGCTATGCTTGGGCTAAAGCCAGGTGCTGGTTACTCAATCCAGGTCTCCTGTGAGTTGTAAGAACCCAATTATTCAGCCATCTCTGCTGCTTCCCAGGCGTTAGCAGGAAGCTACAGTCAGGAGCCAGAGCTGGATATCAGACCCAGGTGCTCTAACATGGGACAGGGGCATCCTAACCAGTGTCTTAACCACTGGGCTAAACAGATATCCCATGAAAATATCAACTTTTCTCAATTTTTTAGTTTTATTATTTCTTTGGTTATTATTGTTATGATATCTGTTTATATGTTCTTTTATTGTTAGATGCCTTAAATGGTTTTTTTGTATGTAAGAAGAGTGTATAAAATAACTTTGAATATAAATAAAAAGCATTTCTTTACATTTGTTCTCTTGAAATTAAGGTCCTATATACTCATCAAAAGATGAAGAAGTCAAAGGTGTGGCAAGATGGAATTCTGAAGATCTCTCACTTAAAAAACAAAGTAGGTGCAAAATAGTTGACCTAGGTTTCTAAGAATGAGGTTTTTGTCTTTAATATTAAAAAAACTCTATAGATGATAAAATGTTGGATAAGTCCATACTTCTATATGCTGTGAAAACATATTTTCAAATGATTCTATCACACTGGTTAATTTGTGTTTTATGAAATTTCAGTAAGTACCATTTGTTTGTTGTGATTTTTAAAAAAGCTTATATTGTTAAATGCTTACAGTATGCCAGGCATAATGCTTCAAATGTATTAGCTTACTTAACATAACTGTCCTACTGGCTAGGTACTGTTTTCATCTCTCTGATGATGAAACAGGCACAATCAGATGAAGTAGCTTACTCAAGGGTCTCTTAGCTAGAGTATGGAGGAGTCATGCTTGAACCTAGGCTTTTGGGCTCTAAAGTATATGTCCTAACCATTCTACTGTTTCTCTTAATATTACAAATTTTTAAAAAGAACTTTATTGTGCCCGGTGCTGTGGCAGAGCAGGTTAAAGCCCCGGCCTGCAGTGCCAGCATCCCATAGGAAGAAGCTCCTGGCCTCGGATCTTGGTTTAGAAAAGTCTTTAAAGATGAGTATTCTTCACTGTATAAACAAAATTAGTAAGTTGGGAGGAAAGGAACTGAAGATGATGTCATAGTCATAATAACATGGATGTATTAAACAGAATGAATCGTACGAGGAACCAAAAGCAATTAAATGGGGCTGGAATGAAGGGCCCATGTTGGGAAATGGTAGAATTTAAAGCTACTAAGTGTGGAAGGGAGCCAGATTATGAGGGACTTTGTGTGTTCTTCCTGAGGAGCCAGTGAAGAATTATGAGCAGAAGAGTGATGTAATATTTGTGTTTTAGAAAGATTGCTTTGGCAGCAAAAATGCTATAGAATAATGAAGACAAAAAATTATGGGCATCTAACCAAGTCAACATTAGCAATAACTAGAGAGAAATTATAAAAATATTCTAGAATTTTCAGACCTTGGATATAGAAGAGAGGAGAATCCAAAATGACTTTCATATTTCTGTATTTTGATTATGGTGCTGAGACAAGATATCTCGAAAAGAAAATTAAATTTATGGGGAACAATGAAGATTTTTGCATTCCATAGGCAGAGTTACAGAGGGGCTGAGGCAGAGACAGAAAGAGAGAGATTTCCATCAGCTTGTTCACTCCCCAAATAGCTGCAATGGCTGGAGCTGCACTGATCCAAAGCTAGGAGCCAGGAGCTTCCAGGTCTCCCACACAGGTGTAGGGGCCCAAGGACTTGAGCCATCTTCTGCTGCTTTCTCAGGCCATAGCAGAGAGCTGGATTGGAAATGTTGCAGCCGGGACTTGAACCGGTACCCATATGGGATGCTGGCACTGCAAGCAGCGGCTCTACTATGCCATAGCACTGGCCCCTTGAGTTCCATTTTGAACATACTATATTTGAGATATTACAAAAACAGTCAAGTTACTTGGTGTTAAGGCCCCAGAGCTCAGGAAAGAGTTCTGCTGTACCATTATAGATTGGAAGTCTTTTGCGTTTAGATGGCATTAGAAGTTAGTGGAGTGGTTCATTTATTTAACAAATATGTTGTGAGTGTATGAAATGCCTAATATTCTAAGAGAGTGCATCAGGGAACCAAACAGTTAAACCCTTTACTTCAGAGAAACCACATGAGAGAGACTAGAAAATTAAATGAATACGTATGTCTGTTGGGTAAGGCAAATAGTAAGGAGATCAATGTCGTTGAAATTGAGTGAGCAAAGGAGAATGGAGATGAGGGAGATTAGATAAACCCTATTGCCTATTATAAGGATTTCTGTTCTTATTCTAAGGAAGCTGTGGAATGATTTGAGCCAAACCATAGTGTGATCTGATTTGTGAGGATGATATTGTTTAAGTAGGGAGTATAGGATGAAAAGACTAGAGGAACAAGAATACAGCTCTCGGAAATTTTTTAAATTTTTAAAATAGCTTTATTGAGATATATATATATATATATATATATATATATATATATATACTTTTCAGCTCACTCATTTGGTGATTTTTATTTTAATCAATTTTGCAACCATTAAAGCAATCTAAATTTAGAACATTTTTTGTCACCTAAAATAGAAATCCTATGCTTACTAGCAGTTACCGCTCAGTACCCAGCCCTTAGCCCTAAGAAAACAAACCTATTTACTATCTCTATAGATTTACCTATTTTGGACATTTCACATGATTTGAATTATGTAACATGGAATCTTTTATATATGACTCTTATGTAGCATAATATTTTCAATGTTCATTCATATTGAAGCATATATCAATACTTTATTCCTTTTTATTGCTGAATAGTGTCCATTGTATGGGTGTGCTGTATCACTTTATTTCTCTTTTCATTAGTTAATGTACATTTGGGTTGTTTCTACATTTTGGCTTTTTTTTTTTTTTTTTTTTTTTTTTTTTGACAGACAGAGTGGATAGTGAGAGAGAGAGAGAATGAGAGAAAGATCTTCCTTTGCCGTTGGTTCACCCTCCAATGGCCGCCACGGCTGGCGTGCTGCGGCCGGCGCACTGTGCTGATCCGAAGGCAGGAGCCAGGTGCTTCTCCTGGTCTCCCATGGGGTGCAGGGCCCAAGCACTTGGGCTATCCTCCACTGCCTTCCCGGGCCACAGCAGAGAGCTGGCCTGGAAGAGGGGCAACCGGGACAGAATCCGGCGCCCCGACCAGGACTAGAACCTGGTGTGCCGGCGCTGCTAGGTGGAGGATTAGCCTACTGAGCCGCGGCGCCGGCTCATTTTGGCTTTTATAAATAATGCTGCTATCATCATTTATGTGCAAGTTTTTGTATATACATATGTTTTTACTTTCTTGACTATATACATAGGGCTGAAATCTCTGTGTCTGTGGTAACGTTATGTTTAACATTTTTTTAATTAATTAATTAATTTTTATTTTTTGACAGGCAGAGTGGACAGTGAGAGACAGACAGAGAGAAAGGTCTTCCTTTTGCCGTTGGTTCACCCTCCAATGGCCGCCATGGCCGGCGCGCTGTGGCCGGTGCACTGCGCTGATCCGATGGCAGGAGCCAGGTACTTATCCTGGTCTCCCATGGGGTGCAGGGCCCAAGTACTTGGGCCATCCTCCACTGCACTCCCGGGCCACAGCAGAGAGCTGGCCTGGAAGAGGGGCAACCGGGACAGAATCCGGCGCCCCAACCGGGACTAGAACCCGGTGTGCCGGCGCCGCAAGGCGAAGGATTAGCCTCGTGAGCCGCGGCGCCGGCTGTTTGTTTAATATTTTTAAGGAAATGCCAAACTGTTTTCAAAAGTGATGGAAACATCAATATTAAAAGGGCTGATGGTGAAATTGTTATGAAAAATAGCTAGAGACAGAAAGAAAGCTGGAAAATGAGATTCATCTTGGCTTCCTTTTGCTTCCTTATGCCTCACATTTAACAAGTTTAATTCATTATATTTGTAAATAATGTCTTATCTCCAATGCCAATACCTTATTTCAAGCATTAGTCATTGTGTCCCTGGTCCTCTACATCATACCATTACAGCAGATCTTGTCTCCTGTTTGTTCACTGTGATGCAATTCCTTCCCTTATGGTGAGAATTAAATTCTTGACTTTCTTTTGTGTATGCCTTCACATTCTTGCACAGACTGCTTAAATGCATAATAAGCATTTGAAATCCAGGTTAAACAAAGTGGCTGATCCTTTTATCATATAATTTGCTTATAGAGCAATTTTTTATTTTCTTTTGAACATGTTTAAGAAAAGCAAAGTTATATTGTTTTTAACATTTATTTTATTTTGATACAGGCAATTTTATATGATGACAAAGGAACATGTTTGGACAGTTTATTTCTTAAGTGCCTTGAGGTATTTTAATGTGTTTATTTTTAAGTTACTGTTTAAAGAGAATACTTTTATGAATGTGTTAATAGTTTGGTCATGGAATTAATACTAATGGTTATATCTGGTAGGTGCTAAACGTTAATTGTAACTAGACTGCTAAAAGTTTTTAGATACTTATGTTATTTAATTTTTATGACACTATGATTTTTTTTTTTGATAGGCAGAGTTGGACAGTGAGAGAAACAGAGAGAAAGGTCTTCCTTTTTCCGTTGATTTACCCGCCTAGTGGCCGCTACGGCTGGTGCTGCGCCAATCCGAAGCCAGGAGCCTCTCCTGGTCTCCCATGCATGTGCAGGGCCCAAGCACTTGGGCCATCCTCCACTGCACTCCCTGGCCACAGCAGAGAGCTGGACTGGAAGAGGGGCAACCGGGACAGAATCCGGCTCCCCAGCTGGGACTAGAACCCAGGGTGCTGGCGCTGCAGGTGGAGGATTAGCCTAGTGAGCCGTGGTGCCGGCCAGACACTATGATCTTTACAGATTAGGAGTTAAATGGAAAAGGTTAGGTAATTGGCCTACATTCATAGAGTGATGGTGGTAGGGCTGGGATTGAAATCCAGGAACTGACTCTAGAATCTGATTCTTTTTGTATGATTTTTTGATAGGCAGAGGCCTATAGTGGGAAATATTTTGTGAAATTATTTCCATTTAAGTATTTTCTAAAATATTTACTCTGTATTTTTCCATACAGAAAGGAAAAGCGAACTAAAGGCATATTTAATATAAAGAATAAGGGTTCATTTCCCAATTTCATACCCTTCCTACCTAACCTAACCTCTTTGTGTCTGACTTCTTAACTGAAAACTGTAGATCATGGACAGACTACTTCATAGAGTTGGTTTGAAGATTAGAAGTAACTTACATAAAGTGACTAGCAGTTTCTGTGATTATAAATGTGTTAAAATGCACATGCTTATTGTCCTTATATTAATTTTTGGCCCTGTTACTTAATTTATTTTACAGTTTTATATGACATTAACAGTGGTTGTCATACTTTAATATTTATTTAAAAAAAGTCTAGGAGAAGCACTATCTTATAGTAGATACTTAATAGGTAGTAGCTACTGCTGTTATTTTATCTTAAATCATTTCATTAACAAGATTAATCTGATTCAGATTTTGTGTTTTCATGCTAATAATTTTATTCTGTAATCAGAGGCAATTTTTGATACAGGCAATTTTATATGATGACATAGGAACATGTTTGGACAGTTTATTTAGAAGTGCCTTGAGGTATTTTAATGTGTTTATTTTTAATATACTTTTTAAAGAGAATACTTCTTTTATGAATGTGTTAACAGTTAAGTCATGAAACTAATACTAATGGTTATATCTGGTAGGTTAATAATTTAATAATTAATTTTATTAATTAATACTTTTTATTCTGTAGTCAGAGGCAGTGGTATATTTGTTCTTTTAAGTGTTTAAATATAGTTATTTAAGTAACTAATAATTTATAATGAAGTTTAATTTGTGACAACTGAATATGTAGTTTATATTCACTTATGAAGCATGATAATTGATAATTAATAGCTCTAAGTTTTAAAAAATTATATTTAGTTGCATGGAGTCTAAATGAATTCCTTGAGAGGGAACTTTTTTCCTGTCCTTATCTTTGTGTTCTCAGGATGTAATAAAGGGCCTCATGAAAGTCCAGAGTATGTATTGTTCAGTGAACAAGTTAGTGAATTTTTAAAATTATATTACTATCTTTTTTAATGCTTGTACATAATAATACTTTAGTTATTGATTCATTCAGCAGCTACTTATTGAATATATAATATACCTTGCTTAGTGCTTAGTGAGCTTACTAGAACACACAGATGATCAAATAATTAGATGTATAGAATTTTGACATTTATTCTTTAAAATTTAGGTGAAACCTGGAGATGACCTAGAAAGTGATCGATACTTAATCACAGTTGAGGAGGTTAAAGTTTCTGGAAGCAAAGCTATTAAAGAGGATGTTGTTAAAGAAACACCAGAGTTAAATTCAAGGAGGTTTATATCCTCTGGCAGGTCTCTTGGATGTCAGCCTGCTGGTTTAAAACGGAAATTTACTGTAAGTTTCTCTGTGGAAAATAATTCATCAATAGTATTTATTAAACTGATTTAAAACGTAGTGAATTTTGAAGCTGTCATTAAAATGGTATTTCTTCATATACTTAAGTAGGAAGGAAATAAAACCTAGTTAGAAAAATCTCACTTCAAATGGATGTTTACATTTTAATTTCACAAACTTTAAATTTTTTTAAAATTTCTATTCTCATTTTATTTTAAAGGCATAGATGCAGACAGAGAGAGACATAGAGAGAGAGATCGTCCATCACTGGTTCACTCCCAAATGCCTATAACAACCAGAATTGAGCCAGGCTGAAGCTAGGAGCCTAGAACTCCATTCAGGTCTCATTCAGGTTGTAAGGACCCAATTATTTGAGCTGTTATCTGCTGCCTCCCAGGATGTGCATTGGTTGGGAGCTGGGTTGGAAGCAGAGTGTCTGGAACTTGAATCAGGCACTTCCTTACGGGATGTGGGCATGCCAAGCAGTAATTTAAGCTATTGTACAGGTCCAAGCAGATTTTAAATCTTAAATTATTATTTTGCCTTAAGTAAAGCATATGCAGTCCTTATTTTTCCTTTCCGTTTTCTTTTTAAGACTTATTTATTTGAAAGGCAGAGTGACAGAGAGAGGGAGAGAGATCTTCTGTTTGCTGGGTTTACTCCCCAAATGACTACAACAGCTGGGGTTGGGCCAGGCCTAAGCCAGGAGCCAAAAACTCCATTTAGGCTTCCACATGTCCAAGGCACATTAGCAGAGTTGAATCAGAAGTGGAGTAGCTGGGATTTGAACCAGTACTCCAAGTAAGGGGTGAGGGAGGGCATCACAAGTGGCCACCTAACTTGTTGTGTGACAACACTGCCCTCATTATTTTTCCGAAGCCAATTATTTCATATTTTCTTAATGATATAGCTAATAATTAATTTATTTTAATATTTCTAGGGTTTTCAAGTACCACGTCAGGTCCCCAAGAAAATGGTTATTACAGAAAATGGAGAGTCACCGGTGTTACCTGAGACTAAGAGACCTGACCCTCCTTTTGTACTTCCATCTTACAGTGCACCGCCTTTGTTTTCTGCTATTGGCAAGCAAGATATAAACACTATGCCAAAAAACCTTGAGAACACTGTCCCTTATAAGAACACAGAGAGAAATGGCATTTCCTCAGTTGACTCTGCTCCATTCTTTAAGATGAACACAGAAATGCCATGTGAAGAAAATTATTTTTGCTCTGAAAGTAAGCATTCAGCCTCTTCACTCACCAGTGAGCCCATGAAAAGAGATAGTTTGACATCTCACTGTTCAGGAGTTTCACAAACCATCAGAAGCAAAGCGCAGATACTAGCTCTTCTGAAGTCCAAGTCTACTAGTAGGTGTGAAGAACTCAATTCTGAGGCTACAGAACATTTTCCTCAGGTACAGCCACAAGGATGTTTAAAAGTTCCTGCTAAACCGAAGAGCTTAATTATGCAGGAAGAGTATGCTGAGATGAAGAAGAGCAAAGGAAGTTTAGACTCCCAGCACCAATTAGAAAATGCTATGAGAAATGAAAGTCGATGGGCTATGTATTTGTCTGTACAGAATTCACCTGTACATTCTTCTGTGATGGATGGAAATTATATAGAAAGGAAACCCAAGGCTCAGGAAGATGATAGAAATTTGGATGTGAAAGACCCTTTGGTACAAAAAGAAGTAAAATTCTTTGAGACATATACTGAAAAGAGTAAAAAGCATAATGAAGATAAGACAGGAGCAAATAATGAACAATCCTGGAATCAGGAAGTAAAGTTAGAAATTCCTTCATTCTGTGAAAGCAGCAGCTTACTGGTTACTTGTAGCAGAGCAGAAAATGATGATTTATTATCTGAATTTGACATTCCAGAAACTAATAAAATGCCTGTTAATCAGAATAACAAGGTGTACATCAAAGAATCTATTCACGTTACAGAAAATGCTCAGGTGGTTAATGCCTATGGGACACCAGAAAAAGAGTTTAAACAACCAGTTTTGTCTCTGTCTGAATCAGAACATCCACAAATTGAATCTTCTCTTACTAGCAATCCTAGGATCTCTGATGACATTACAGACATGTTTTCTAAAAGTCACACTGATAGCGAAGATCTTAATAGTATCCATGAATCTATGGATAATGTAACACAACCATTTTTGGAGATAACTTTTAATCTGAACCATTTTGAGGCCAGTGACACTGAGGATGAATCACAAGAAAGTGACAAAATTTCCCAGAATTCAGAAAATGGAATAAAAGAAATTTTGGATAATGATAGCAATTCATGTGTTCAGAAGAGATGCAAGGATATAAGCCATCAGGATACAGGTAGTGAACATTTGCCATTTTTAACATCTATTGGTGGCAGACCTGCAGAAACATTGCCTATTAAAGAGATTCTGCCATCACAGTTTTGTGATAAAACTTCTGTGGGTTTTGACATAGGACCTTGCAAAGCTGAAAATACTGGGGAAAAAATAGAGGAAGAGTACCGTGACATAGTAAGCAATTTTGACCCATCTTTAGAGTGGACTGATGGTGTTTATTTTAAAGAAGATGCTAATAAATATCTCCAAGAAGTCAGAATTAGCTATGATTTCCCTTCACTGCCAATTAAATCTAAAGATCCAAATATAATCACTAATCAGACTCCTGAAAACAATAGTTCATTTTCAGAAGGTGTCCAACCTCAACCTTCTATATTGGGAAGTGACTTAGACAAGAATGATCAGGTTTTACCATCAACCTCTAGCAATGACAATATCCAACTATTATATACCAATCAGAAACACTCTGGAAGTACTGAGCTTGATAAAGCAAATACTACAGATTCCAATTCTTTATTTTACCCTCTAGATAAAAAGCATCCTATTTCCACAGGCACCAAAGTATATATTCCTGAATCTGAAGATTTGGGAAAGTTTAGAAATTTACTGAATGATCACAACGAAGTCAAAACTGCCAAACAAAGCAAACCATACTGGAATAATCCTAGAAATTCTTCAGAACTTTCTGGATTAGGAAATAACTTTTTGCTTTTAAGGTCACTGTCTGAACACAGTACAGCTTTAGACAGCTTGGAAATACTGAAAAAGAAAAATACTGTCCTTCAACAGCAAGAAACTGAGCAGACACAGGAGCCAGATTGCTGTCCTGAAGGTTAGAACGGCATGTTTGTTTTTCACTGTCCTCTTTATAGCTGAAAGAATGAGAAGATACTTGGCTTTGGCTGCTACATTAAAGAATTATACAGGATGTAAATAACTAGTACACATACTAGGTAAAATCAATTCTAATGGAGAATAATATAGTGAAAAATAAGTCTCCTTTCTACCATAGTCCCTCAGCTCACTCCTGAGAATTTTTCAGTCTGTCCTTCCAGAACTGTTCTTTGTGTATGTAGGCATATATTGGCACATATAAATGAATATATGTGTGTGTGTTTGATAACTCATTCTTATCATTTGTTTCGGGATATGTACTAGAAGATTTCAGAAAATCATGAGTTGATATTGATACCTCTAGTTCCAGTCCTATATTACACAGTTCTTCTCTTTACTCTGCTTCATATTGTTGGGTTTTCAACAATACCAAAATATTTACTTCCTGAGGTTTGCAGTACATACCATATTGTTTTCAAATTGTCACACCAGTATCACTGCTAATAGCAAAGAAAAAATCTTTATAGATTTGGAATTTTACTATCCTTTGCAGTTTTTGTTTTTAGGTTGTGTTGAGTGTATAAAGTTGGAGTACTAGTTCAAAAATCACTTGAGTTACTTTAGTATGGTTACATTACCATTTGATTTAAGTGTAGCAAAGTCTGTTGTTTATATTTTAGATGAGGTCTTTTTGTTCATAATTGTTAATATATTTTTATTTTTGACTATGTAAAATAGCTGAGTTAAAAAAAATCAAAGCTCTAAAAACTTAGATTTCTTGTATTTCCTACCCAACCTACTCTAGGTGAACTATGTATCATACCTCTTTTTGCAAAAATAAATAATTTATAAATTCTTATTTTCCCTTATGTAACATAAGATATTATATATATACACACATGTATATATATATGTATATTTTAAAGTATTTATTTTTATTAAAGGGTAGAGAGATAGACATCTCCCAAATGGTTGTAACAACCAAGAAGGCTGGGCCAGACTGAAACCAGGAGCTAGGAACTTAATTCAGCTCTCCATGTGGGTGACAGAGACCCAACTACTTGAGCCATCATCTGCCCTCCAAGATACACATTAACAGGAAGCTGGAATTAGAAGCTAGGCCAGGTCTCACACCAAAGCACTCCAGTATGAGATGCAGGCATCCCAAGTGTCTCCTTAACAGCCGTACCAAATATCTATCCCACCCATGGATTCTTTAGCACCTTGATTTTTTTTTTCATTTAATAATATATTTTGGAAATCACTTCATATCATTTCATGAGAGTCTTCATTTGGTTTGTTTTCAGCTGTATAATATATCACTGTGGATGTTCCATCATTTATTCAACCAGATTCCCTGAATTATTTTATGTTATTTCTAGTATTTGACTTTTACAAATAAATGAAAATAAGTAGCCTTATGTATCTATACAGATGGAGCATCCCTAATCCAAAAATGCATGATCTAAAATACTCCAAAATCTAGATTCAGACTTTGGATTTTTGGATTAGGGATGCTCTGCTGGTAAAGTCTATGCAAATATTTCAGCATCTGAAATCTGAAACATTTCTGGTAACAAGTGTTTTAGATAAAGGATATTCAACTGTATCCAAAAACTTTACGAATTATCCTTATGTATATTGCTTTTGTTTTCATGTTGAAGCTGTGTCTTCAGTAAAAATTCCTAGAAATAAGATTGCTGGGTAAATAAATGTGTAATTTTATTAGATAACTTCAAAGTTTTCTTTATGGAAACTGTACTGTTTCTCACTCCTACTATGATGTATGACAGTGGCTGTTTGTCCATAATCTTGCCAATAGTGTGTTGCCAAGCTTATGAATTTTTGACCAGTCTTAATGGCTGAGAAACAACATTTCAGTATATTTTAAATTTTTATTTCTTTTCTTTTTTAAAAAAGATTTATTTATTGAAAGGCAAAGTTACAGAGAAAGAGAGAAGGAGAGACAGAGAGTGAGAGAGATCTTCCATCCATTGGTTCAGTCCCCAAATGGCTGCAATGACTGGGACTGGACTAGGCTGGAGCCAGCAGCCAGGAGCCTCCTCTGGGTCTCCCACATGAGTGTAGGGGCCCAGATACTTGGGCCCTCTCCACTGCTTTCCCAGGCTTATTAGAAGGAAATTAGATTGGAATCAGAGCAACTGGGACTTGAACTGGCACCCATATGGGATGCCAGCGCTGCAGGCTGTGGCTTAATGTGGCTTAATGCACTATGCCACAGTGCTAGCCCCTAAATTTTTATTTCTATTACAAGTGAAATTGAGCATCTTTTAATATATTTAAACACTATGCATAGATCTTTAATTTTTTTTAAAGATTTATTTACTTGGAAGGCAGAGTTAGAGAGAGGCAGAGGCAGAAAGAGATTTTTCCATCCTCTGATTCACTCTCCAAATGGCTGCAATGGCTGGAGCTGGGCCAATCTGAAGCCAGGAACCAGGACCTTCCCCTAGGTCTCCCATGTGGGTGCAGGGTTCCAAGGACTTGAGCCATCTTCTATGGCTTTCCCAGGCCATACCAGAGAGCTGGATCTGAAGTGGAACAGCTGGTTCTCAAACCAGTGCCCATATGGGATGCCGCAGCTGCAGGCAGTGGCTTTACCCACTTCTTCAGAGCACTGGCCCCATGTATATATTTTTATTCTAACCTTTTGCTCAGCTTTTAATGGTTTTGGTTGTTTTATTTATTTATTTTGATTTGTAGGGATTCTTTATGATATGTATTAGGAGTTCTTTATGGCATATGTTGGAAATGTGTTCTTTCAGGATGTCATTGGTCTTTTGACTTATATTGCTAACAGCATTATCTGTTTAAGAATATTATAGTGGGCCGGCACTGCGGCTCACTAGGCTAATCCTCTGCCTTGTGGCGCCGGCACACCGGCTTCTAGTCCCAGTTGGGGCACCGGATTCTGTCCCGGTTGCCCCTCTTCCAGGCCAGCTCTCTGCTGTGGCCAGGGAGTGCAGTGGAGGATGGCCCAAGTACTTGGGCCTTGCACCCCATGGGAGACCAGGATAAGCACCTGGCTCCTGCCATCGGATCAGCGCAGTGCGCTGGCCGCAGCGCGTTGGCCGCGGCGGCCATTGGAGGGTGAACCAACGGCAAAAGGAAGACCTTTCTCTCTGTCTCTCTCTCTCACTGTCCACTCTGCCTGTCAAAAAATAAAAATTAAAAATTAAAATTAAAAAAAATAAAAAAAGAATATTATAGTAAATAATGTATACATAAGAATATACAGAATGATAAACTATGATACTCTCAAAGAGAAGTTAAAATTGAATGCTTATTTGAATATCTCAAGTGATTCTTGGGAAAAATATCAATAAATTATACTGACTAAAATGTGTGAAAGTAGTTGTTAGGTGATAATTGTTAATTTTCTAGATGCAAAACTAAGTGAGAAACTTTAATGAAAAGTATGGGTAGATATATAATATGAATTTAAATTTATAATACAAAGATTTAAGAATCATAGAATTTAGTTTTTTTTTAAAATTTATTTATTTATTTGAAAGTCAAAGTTACACAGAGAGAGTGAGCGAGAGAGAGGTCTTCCATCCACTGGTTCACTCCCCAATTGACCACAATGGCTGGAGCTGCACCAATTTGAAGCCAGGAGCTTCTTCATGGTCTCCCATGTGGCTGCAGCGGCCCAAGGACTTAGGCCATCTTCTACTGCTTTTCCAGGTCATAGCAGAGCTGGGTCGGAAGTGGAGCAGCCGGGACTAGAACCGGCACCCATATGGGATGCTTGCACTGCAAGTGGTGGCTTTACCTGCTACACCACAGCACCAGCCCCTAGAATTTAGTTTTAAGAAACTACTTATTTCTATCAAATTGTAAAGGAGAATTATAGTTGATTCTCATAAATTTTGGCAGTTATGTGCTGTGAAGTCATAGCAAATTCTGTATTAACAAATATTGAACAGTTGCTCCCAGAGAAATACAGGATTAGGTTCTTAGAAGCCTCTGGTCAGAATATTTTTATTAGCTTATCAATATATAACTTTGTTTTATGTGTGTTTCTCTGTAAACACACCTTTTAATATATATTTCTTTTTATTATCATGGAACTCAGAATGTCAACACTATAACTCATGTCTGACTACAACCTTCCTAATACATGTATTTTCTCTATGGACATGTAGACTTCTTGCACTAGGAAACCCCTATTTATAAGGAATGCTAGACAGCCCTATTTATAAGGGACATCTTAAATAGTGAAATTCACTAACAGAAAGTACAAAGATATGAAAAATAGACCCCCAAAAAGATACTTGTTTACAATATAAGCTGAAGTAGGAAGGCAGGGAATTGCCTTGTTGGGAATGTATACTTACTTTTTTGCTGCTCCATGCATGTCTGCAAAGGACCAGAAAATCACTATAAGAATTGATTTTGGGTTTACAAATTTTATGGAATAGACATAATCCATGAGTAATGATTATCAACTGTATTATAAATATATTTCTCTAAAAGGGATTAAGTTGGTTTTCTTGAGATAGTTTGAGAAAACAATGTATTGGGTTGCAACAAATAATTTCATGGACTTTATAATACAAAATTAGAGGGGCCGGCACTGTAGTGCAGTGGGTTAAAGCCCTGGCCTGCAGCACCAGCATCCCATATGGGCACCAGTTCTAGTCCCGGCTGCTCCTCTTCTGATCCAGCTCTCTGCTATGGCCTGAGATAGCAGTAGAAGATGGCCCAAGTCTTTGGGCCCCTGCACCCAGATTGGGAGACCAGGAAGAAGCTCCTGGCTCCTGGCTTCAGATCGGCGCAGCTCCAGCTGTTGGGGCCAATTGGGGAGTGAACCAGCGGATGGAAGACCTCTCTCTCTGTCTCAACCTCTCTCTGTAACTTTGTCTTCAAACAAATAAAATAGATCTTTGAAACTATTGAAGGAATGAGTTAATATAATTTCCCCCAAGCCATAGACAAATGGATTTAAGATAGGACTAGTATTAATTTAATTGCTTTTTCCTTTTCTATGATTGCAAACAGCTGCAATATAATGATTGTTTTAGCTGAAGCTACTAAAAATTGATATTTCACTTTTTGCATTTTTAGTATAGGTTATTAGCTATTGGCTTAATATTTTTCAGTTAGTTTCAAAAAGGAAAGAAAAATATAAGGAAACATCCTATTGTTGACTTAGAAAGTAACCAGAAAGGTTTTCACTCTAAATATTTTTGAATTTTTATCATGAAATATTCATAGAGACAATGGTACAATGAATTTCTAAATACAATCCAGATTGGGGCCTGCATTGTGGCATGACAGGTTGGGTTGCTGCCTGTGATGCCAGCATCCCACATCAGCATCAGTTTGAGTCTTGGCTGCTCCACTTCCAGCTCCCTGCTAATGCTCCTTGGAAAGCAGAGAAATATAGCCCGAGTGATTTGGACTCTGCCACCCATGTGGGAGACCTGAATGGAGTTCAAGGCTCTTGGCTTAGGCTTGACCTAGTCTCTGCTGCTGTGGCCATTTGGGGAGTGAACCAACAGATGGAAGAGAACTGTCTGTTTCTCCCTCTCTGTCACTTTACCTTTCAAATAAATAAATAAATAAATCGTAAAAAAATACAATCCATATTAAACAATTATCAGGACTACCTCATCTTAAAATTTATATATCTTTCAGTTATTTAAAAATTTTTTAAAAAATTTATTTTATTTGAAAGGCAGAGTTACAGAGAGGCAGAGGCAGAGAAAGAGGGCTCTCCTATTCGTTGGTTCAGCTCCCCAAGGGGCTGTGACGGCTAGAGCTGGGCTGATCTGAAGCTAGGAGCCAGGAGCCAGGCGCTTCTTCTGGGTCTCCTACGTGGGTGCAGGAGCCCAAACACTTGGGCCATTTTCTTTCTTTTTTTTTTTTCTTCTTTATTTAAAGCTTTTATTTAATGAATGCAAATTACATAGGTACTACTTTAGGAATATAGTGGTTCTTCCCCCCCATACCCACTCTCCCACCCCCACTCCCGCCCCACCTACTCCCTCTTGGCCCATTTTCTACTGCTTTCCCAGGTCATAGCAGAGAGCTGGATCAGAAATGGAGCAGCTGGGTCTCGAACTGGCACTCATGTGGGATGCTAGCCCTGCAGGCAGTGGCTTTACCTGCTATGCCACAGCGAAGGCCCTATTTCTTACAGTTTTAAAATAAGTTTAAAATATTTTAGAGTACCATTATATGAAGGGTCTTCAAAAAGTTCATGGGAAATGCTTGTTATACAAAAACTATACGTGAATGTCAAAGTTTTTTGCACCACAAGAAACATTTATAAATTTTAAAATTAATTTTATTTATTTGAAATGAACAGAGAGGGAAAGAAAAAGAAGGAGGGGAAGACCTATCTTCCTTCAGCTGGTTGGTTCACTCCCCAAATGCCCACAACAACTGGGGCTGGGCCAGCTGAAGTTAGGAGAAGGGAACTCAATTCCTGTCTCTCATGTGTGAGGGAAGGACCAAACAACTTCAGCCATCACCTGTTGCCTTCTATGGGACAGATTAGCAGGGAGCTAAATCAGAAGCAGAGTCGGACTTGAAACTCAAGCACTGCAGTACTGGATATGAACATCTTAACTGCTGTGGCAAATGCTCACCTGTAAACTTAGCTTTTAATGCTGTTTCCATCAACTTTTTGATGTAACCTTATGTAAATGATGAATAAAAACATTTGATTTTCTCCATTACAGCTAGGAAACCATTTATTACAGTAATTCCACAATCTGTTCCCAGATCTCCTCATTGGAACCAGGATTCACAACAAGTATGTATTTTCTTTTTCTAACAGTATTTTATTTTGAAGTCAATGTTTCATAATTTGTATAGAATTAGAGGATCCTAAGCTATTTTAGTTCATGATCCCCTTTGTATCTCATTAATTTTCCATTAATTTCCTTGATCAGAAGAAATATCTTATAGTTTTTTAAAGTAGTTAGTAGTATTAACCAACTTAGGTATTTAATGTTCTAGTAACTTAGTAAGCTATTTATTTATTTATTTATTATTTGAGAGATAAGAGAGAGAGAATGCTGGTTCACTCTCCAAATGCCTACAACAGCTGTGATTGGGCTAGGCTGAAGCCAGGAGCCAAGAACTCTACCCAGATCTCCCATGTGTGTGGCAGGGTCTTAAGTACTTGAGACATCACTTGCTGCTTCAGTAGCAGGGAGTTGGATCAGAAATGAAGTAGCCGGAGCTGAAACTGGCACACTGATATGGGATGTGGACATCAAAGCAGTGGCTTAATTCATTGCATCATAATGCTTACCACACTAACTGGTATCTTAAAAGCTAGGCCAAACACCTTCTCCAGCATTTTATTTTAAAAATAGATAGAATGTGTGTCCCTGTAGAGCACTGCACAACTCAAACCTTGGAGAACATTCGATAGCACACACCCCTTTCTTGGGTTTTCTAATGATAATTGCCTTATGTCATAACAGTTTCTGAAAATGCAGCTTCATAAATCCACTGTCGAGTGGCACTGTGTTTCCTTAAATATAAAACATCTTCGGAGTCTCTCTGGGTTCACTGTGGCATTCCAAAGCAGCTTGCTGCACAGTTTGGTAACTGTGATCTGAAAATCAGAAATAATAGGATGGGGCTGGCATCTGATGCAATGGTTAAGATGTCATTTGGGATGCCTGCATCCCATATTGGAGTGCCTCCATTAAGGGTCATGGCTCCACTTCTGATTTCAACTTTCTTGTAATAATGTGTACCCTGGGAGGCAGCAGGTGATGGCTCAAGTACTTAAGTCCATGCTGCCTGCATTACATTGGAAAACTGGATTGAGTTCCAGGCCCCTGGCTTCAGTATGGCCCAGCCCTTACTGTTGTGATCATTTGGTGAGTGAACCAGTGGATGGAAGATCTCTGTCCCTGTCTCTCTGCCTTTCAAATAAATAAAAGCTTTTTTTTTTTTTTAGAAAATAGGATGAACTGGGGGCCAGCACTGTGGCTTAGCGGGTAAAGCTGCCGCCTACAGTGCTGGCATCCCATATGGGTGCCGGTTGGAGTCCCGGCTGCTCCACTTCCGATCCAGCTCTCTGCTATGGCCTGGGAAAGCAGTAGAAGATGGCCTAAGTCCTTGGGCCCCTGCAGCCACATGGGAGACCCAGAAGAAGCTCCTGGTTCCTGGGTTCGGATCGGTGTAGCTCTGGCTGTTGTGGCCAATTGGGGAGTGAATCAGTGGATGGAAGACCTCTCTCTCTCTCTCTCTGCCTCTGCCTCTCTGTAACTGCCTTTCAAATAAATAAATGAATAAATAAATCTTTAAAAAAAAAAGCTCATGGAGAATGAGTATTATGAAAAAACTATGCATGGATTTGCACCCAAATAAACTTCTCTTAAAAAAATGGGATGAACTGAAATTCTGAAGTAAAATATCTAGGTTAGTAGGGTTTTGTAATAGGGATGCTGCTGCCACTGAGGGGGAAAGTTTGTTGTTTCCTAGCAGATATGTTTGGAAGAAAATGAAATGTTTCATTTCCCTTCCTTTTATATTTTTACCTCCTGTATTACCAGTTTTTAAAAATTTCAGTATCCTGTGTTGTGGACAGACGGTTCTGTATTTTGATAATTTAGATTATGTCTAGCATTTGACTATCATAAATAACAAGTTTTTAGTGATTTATTTATTTGAAAGATAAAGAGAGCTTCCATCTAGTGGATGCAGCAGGGAGTTGAACTAGCAGAGACTTGAACCAGTGCAGTGCTCAGATTTGGTATGTTGGTGTTACAAGTGCTAACTTAGCCTGCTGCACCACAATGTTGACCCCATAAATAACACTTTAGAAAATGTTTTGGTGCCGGCACTATGGCGCAGTGGGTTAACGCCCTGGCCTGAAGTGCTGGCGTCCCATGTGGGCACCGGTTCGAGACCCAGCTGCTCTACTTCCGATCCAGCTCTCTGGTATGGCCTGGGAAAGCAGTAGAAGATGGCCCAAGTCCTTGGCCCCTACACCACTGTGGGAGACCTGGAGGAAGCTCCTGGCTCCTGGCTTCGGATTGGTGCAGCTCCAGCCGTTGCAGCCAATTGTGGAGTGAACCAGCAGATGGAAGACCTCTCTCTTTCTGCCTCTTCTCTGTGTAATTCTGACTTTCAAATAAATAAATCAATCTTAAAAAAAATGTTTTTGCACACAAATCATTTTTTATATTTTAAATTCTTTCCTTAGATTTGTTCCCAGAAGTGGAACTAATTACTTGGAAGGCTAGGAACAACATTGTTAGGTTCTTGATATTGTCAAGATCTAATAATCTTAAAGTTTTGGAGCAGCATCTGTCTGTCTGTATCTATCTATTAATCAATCAATAAATCAATCAGAGAGGAGAGGGAGGAGAGAGAGAGGGACCTACCTTCTATCTGCTGATTTACTCCCCAAATGGACTCAATAGCTGAGGCTGGTCCAGGAGTAACCCAGGAGCTAGGAACTCCATCTAGATCTCCCACAAGGGTGGAAGGATCTAGGTACTTTGGCCATCTTCTATTGCTTTCCCAGGCAGCTTGATCAGAAGTGGAGTAGCTGGGACATGAACCGGCATTCCAGTAAGGGATGTCAGCACTTAACCGCTACACCACAAATCCGGACTCCAGAGCAGATGTTTAGCCTGGCAATTAAGATATTCGTGTCCCACATTGGAGTACCTGGTTTGAATTCCCAGCTGCAACTCCTGACTCTGAAGGAGTCGGATCAGATGGCCGTCGCAGCCATCTGGGGATGAACCAATGGATGGAAGACCTCTCTGTCTCTGCCTCTCTCTGTAACTCTTTCTTGCAAATAAATAAAAATAAATCTTTAAAAAAAAAAGCTAATTGAGAAACCCAAAATTATCACTGACAATTGTACTCACACTCTGTAGCCTAAAACAGAATAATAACATCTATCTTACGGTGTTTTGTCAGTTTTCACCCTTGTCTAAAAAGATGATGTACAAAGCCATAAGAAATTAGCAACAATTTTGTTTTCAAATGTTCACATTCTTATTTTAAATTAAAAAATAGAGTTTAAACTTTTTCAAGGATGTTTATCACCACGGGTCAACTTAGATAAATACTATCTTTTCACCCAGAATGAGTTTCCTTTTAAAATAAATGTCATATGTTTTCAAAATGCTGTTGTTATCCCAGAGTATGAAAACTTTCTTATAATCTTTTGCAATAAAAAGTTATTATTCAAATTTATTTTTAGTATTTTTTTCTTTTTTTGAAAGATTTTATTTATTTGAGAAGTAGAATTAAAGACAGTGAGAAAGAGAGAGAAAGGTCTTCCTTCTGTTGGTTCACTCCTTAAATGGCCACAATGGTTGGAGCTGCGCTGATCTGAAGCCAGGAGCCAGGAGCTTCCTCTGGATCTTCCATGCCGGTGCAGGGGCCCAAGCACTTTGGCCATTTTCTGCTTTCCCAGGCTAATACAGAGAGCTGGATTGGAAGAGGAGCAGCTGGGACTAGAACTGGTGCCTATATGGGATGCCAGCCCCACAGGTGGAGGATTAACCTATTATGCCATGGCGTCAGCCCCTATTTTTAGTATTAAAATAGAAATGCATTTGTATTTTTATAATGACTTTTCTTTTTAAAGATTTATTTATTTATTTACTTATTTATTTGAAAGACAGAGTTAGATGGAGAGAGAGAGAGAAAGATGTCTTCCGTCCATGGGTTCACTCCCCAAATGATTGTAATAGCCAACGGCGGGACAAGCTGAAGCCAGGAGCCTCAGACTCTAGCTGGGTTTCCCATGTGGGTGTCAGGGGCCTAAGCACTTGGACCATCTCCCACTGCTTTCTCAGGCACTTTGGCAGGGAGTTGGATCAAAAGTGGAGTAGCTGGGATACAAACTGGTGCTCATAGAGAATACCAGTGTCACAGTCAGTGGCTTAACATCCTCACCAGGGCATCATCTTTGAAGATAACCTCAAAAACCACTTTTGCCTAATTTCTATAATTGGCTACCCACAGCAAAGTAGCTGTTCCAGTAGGGAAGGAATCATGCTAATTAACTTTGAAAATTCACTATATTAGGAAATTCTAATTCTAAATGACTAGTTGAGTATTTTCACACTTGATCTTAGCCAAAAGGCTGAGAAGCAATAACTAGTTTAATATTTTCAAGAACCAATTTTTTGGTAGTTGTGCTTACTGTTGTTAAGGAAAGTGATTATTTGAAGAAATACATTACCTCTTAAGTCAACTGAGAAAATGTTTTCTATATACTTCTTAAAAAATGCTTCAACAACAACAGGAGTCACTGTGCACTTACTCCTCATGTAGGATCTCTGTCCTTAATGTGCTGTACATTGTGATTTAACGCTATAACGAGTACTCAAACAGTATTTTTCACTTTTTGTTTCTATGTGGGTGCAAACTGTTGAAATCTTTACTTAATGCATACTAAACTGATCTTCTGTATATAAAGAAAATTGAAAATGAATCTTGATAAGAATGGAAGGGGGAGAGAGAGCGGGAAAGGGGAGGGTTGCGGGTGGGAGGGAAGTCATTTGGGTGGGGGAAGCCAATGTAATCCATAAGCTGTACTTTGGAAATCTATATTCATTAAATAAAAGTTAAAAAAAAATAAAAATACAGAACTTAGAAAATCACTTCAAAAAATGCTTCAACAGTTGAATTCATTTTATGTCATTCATATTTTAAATTATTAATACAATAGTTGATACATTGAAAGTGACTGCTATTATCAACATATTTTATAACTACTAGGAGAGTATTAAACATACTATTTACATTTTTTTTTGACAGAGTGGATAGTGAGAGAGATAGAGAGAGAGAGAGAAAGGTCTTCCTTTTTGCCATTGGTTCACCCTCCAATGGCCGCCATGGCTGGCCCATCGCGCTGATCCGAAGCCAGGAGCCAGGTGCTTCTCCTGGTCTCCCATTCGGGTGCAGGGCCCAAGCACTTGGGCCATCCTGCACTGCACTCTCGGGCCATAGCAGAGAGCTGGCCTGGAAGAGAGGCAACTGGGACAGAAGCCGGTGCCCCGACTGGGACTAGAACCCAGTGTGCCGGCGCCGCAAGGCAGAGGATTAGCCTAGTGAGCCGCGGCACCGGCCCTACTATTTACATAAAACATTTATTTATTTATTTGAAAAACAGAGGGGCTGGTGTTGTGGCATGGTGGGTAAAACCACCATCTGTCCCTTTCAAATAAATAAATAAATCTTAAAAAAACCACTGCAAGACTATTCAAACAAACTAGATAGATAATTAGATTATTTGTTAATATTTTATTCTAGTTCTTTACCTTGGGAAGTGAAGAAGAGAATGGTTTTCTAGCTGATATTCCTAAACAAATAGAGAGAAAAACCTGTGACGCTAAGGTAAAGTCTATAAAGAACATTGATTTTCTAATCCACTTTATTTTCAGGCTGTTCTTTAAAAGTATTAATGTTTTCCATAGGCATAAGGTTAATGAGCCTGATAAATTACCTTAGTTTTAAGAACATGAGAAACTGATGATTCCTGATTTTTGGTGTTGAACCTTCTCTGAATTGTTATTGAGTGAATAAATACAGTATTTGTAGTGTCCATACATCATAGGATGCACTAGAGTTTGGATATAAAACAATTGGAGCACAATTAATGAATATTTGTGGAGAACGGAATGAGTATCTTTATAGCCTTTAACATTATAGTATGCTTCAACATTTCTGCATCTTGTCAAATATGTGAAAATATATATAGACCAAGCTCTAAGTAGTGCTACCTACTCTACATCAAAAGTTAAAGATGCAACAGAGTATAAGTGATTGAACTTTGTAAATAGCTATTCTATTCCTAAAACTCTGATAATCTCTGGAAGAGATCTATACAGCAGCATAGATGACAAGGTACCTATTTCCTTGTGAAGCCTTGTGTATTCCCCATCAAATGAAGCAGAAATAGTACAGAACCCTTAACAGTTGAAGCTTGTCTTTATTGATGTGTCTTTAAATTTGGAAGATTATTTTCAACAAATGTCCTATATAACGGAGCATTTTGATTTTTTTCCAAGTGTGATTTGGAATCTAGATGTTTTAAGAGTATATTCATATTATATATTATTATTCTTTTGTTAATTCAACAGTTAGAAAACAATCCTTTATGGATTAATTCTACTGGCTCTATTAGCAATCTTATTTTTTCACATTCTGGGTGAGCTTGGTTACCTTGAGTGAAGTATAAATTCTAAAGCCCTCAAGGGGGCAGCAGAGAAAGCCATTTGAAGTATGAAATCAGTTAGAAGACTCCAGCTTAAATGTCTGCATTGGAATCATCCTCATAGGCTTTGCTGTCAAAGCAGTTGCACATACTGAGAGGCAGGGAGCCCACTATCAATTTTATAATTAGGCCTAATGGTCTAGAAACTCTTAAGCAAAGGAAAATGTTTCCTGTGTTTCTTCTCTGTCATCCCTATCTCTCTTTATTGATTGCTTCCTGTATGCCAAACACTGTGTTAAATGCAGATGATACCTAGATGAAACAAAAAGATCTCTGTTCTCAAGAGGCTTACATTTGCTAGTATATGGATAAGGACAAACTTCGTTTTAAAGTGCTAAGTCTATAATATATAGTGTGGTATGGTATTGTATATATATTGTATAATATATAGGGGAAGCAAAGAGAAAGGAGCAATTCTTTCTGGCTTAATGAACCATAATTATTATATTCATCTTTATGCTCTTAATGGGAAATTCGCACTTACTAATGTTGAACTTGAATGCAGTTAAATTGGTGTACTTTAGTTACCCTTAATAAATACTTCAGGACAATAAGAGTATTTCCTGATTTTCAACATTAGTTCCTTGGTAGTTCTTTATATTTGATACTATTTAATAAAAAACTGAATTACATGTTATGACTATTTTGGTATAAGTACTTTGTGAATATATACATCATACATACTTAATGCAGTTTTTATTTTCAATACTTTACCTGTAGCCTGTTGAGTTTCAAGAGTACCAGGTGAAAGGATCAGCTACTAGTGGTATAATGACCAGAGGCTACATCTCACAGCTAGGAAGCAATCAGTTTCCAGGTAGCACTGAGTATGAAAACTTCATGACAAACCCTTGTTTTTTGACTCCAAAGTTGCCTAGTACTTGTATACAGACAGACTTCTTTCAGGTAAAATATTCTTATTTTTAGGGTTGTATTTTGCCAAATAATTTTCTTTATGTTAATGCAAATTTTATAAGGAGAGTATAACTCTATCTTTGTGATGTTATAAGTGATAAAGTAATATTGTAAGGGGGCTGGTGTGGCGTAGCAGGTTAAACTGCTCCTTGCAGTGCCAGCATCCCATAATAAAGTGCTGATTTGAGTCCTGGTACCCCACTTTCTAGCCAGCTTCTTTCTAATGCCCATTGGAAAGTGGTAGATGATGACCAAATTATTTGGATCCTTTCCACCTTCATGGGAGACCAGGATGGAATTCTTGGCGCCTGTCTTTGGCCTGACCCAATCTTGGCTGTTGTGTGTATTTGGAGAATGAACCAGCAGATGGATGATCTGCTTCCCTCTCTGTCTCTGTCTCTGTCTCATATTCTATGTCACCTTGCCTTTCAAGTAAATAAACAAGTATTAAAAAAAAGAGTAAATTGACAGCTTGCATAATATTTCAAATAAATAAGAATATTCTAATTGAGAGAGTTACAGCCTTTTTACAATTATAAATTTAAAGGATTACTTCTCATTTCAGAAAAAAACTAGGAATTCATGACAAGAGCATATAGGCAGCTTACACATAAAAAATACTCATCTATTTAACAGCTGGTAGATTTTTTTTCTTCTAATATTTCTCCTCTAATTATCACAGTGAATACCTCTCATTGCTACCAAAGTTAAGTTGCTGGTAATGAAAATAGAAGTCATGGAATAAGAATGATATGTGTGTATTTGAAACAGTGTCTAGTCAAAAGAATTTTTTATCTTCCCTTTTTATTAAAGCAATGCACATATGTACATAGACCATAAGTGCACAGCTTAACAATTACCACAAAGGAAACAACTAGAGAGAAGGAGGAAAGCAGCAAATACTTATATAACATTTACCCTTAAGAAATAGAGAATTACCAGCATCCCAGAAGCTCTCCTTGTGCCCCCTCTCAGTCAGGTCTTTCATTCTTCCCAAAGATAACCACTATCTTGACTTCTAACCACAAATACTGCTGTTTTCGAAACCTTACATAGGGACATGTATTGTACTTCAGCAGGTTAAGCCACTGCCTGTGACACTGCATCCCATATTGGAGAGCTGGTTCAAGTCCCCACTGCTCTGCTTCTTATCTGACTACCAGCTGATGCACCTAGGAGGGCAGTGAATGATGGCCCAAGTGGTTGAGCCTCTGCCATCCACATGGGAGGCCTGGGTGGAGCGCTGAGCTCCTGACTTTGGCTTGGTCTAGACCTGGCTATTTGGGGCTATTTAGGGAATGAACCAGTGGATAGAAGATCTCTTTCTCAGTTTCTCACTGTCTCTTCTCTGTCACTTTGCTTTTAAAATAAATAAATAAATTTTTTTATAAAAAAAGAAACTATATAGTCATACACAGTATATTCTTTGGCTGCTTTTGCTCAAAATTACAATTTTGATATTAATCCATATTATTGCTGTACCTTTAGTTTATTCATTTTCATTGCTAGTATGGTATTTCACTATATCAATGTACCCTAGTTTATCCATTCTTCAGTTGTTTGGTTTAACTTTTGGGAGTATTCTAGATAATACTGCTGTGGACATTTTATGTTCTGTAGTGAAAATCTACTTTTTTTGGTTATATGCTTAAGATTGGGTTTGCTGCATGATCAGAAACACTTGTATATATATGTTTACTTACATACATTATATGTTAATAATATAATGCCTAACTGTTTTCCAGAGTGGTTTCTTCTTTTTTTTTTTTTTTTTTTTACACATTTTGAAAAGATTTATTTTATTTACTTGAAAGGCATAGTGAAGAGAGGAAGAGATAAAGAGGTCTTCCACTCACTGGTTCACTTCCCAAATGGCTGTGATGGAGCCAGCATTGTAAGTGTAGCAGGTAAAGTCATTGCCTGTGACATCGGCATTCCATATAAGCGCCAGATCACATCCTGGCTGCTCCAGTTCTGATCCAGCTCCCTGCTAATGCGTCTGGGAAAACAGTGAAGGATGTCCCAAGTACTTGGGCTCCTGCACCCATGTGGGAGACCCAGATAAAGCTCCTGGCTCCTGGCTTTGGACCGGCCCACTCTAGCCATTATGGCCATTTGGGGAGTGAAACAACAGATGGAAGATGTCTCTCTCTGACTGTCTCTCTGCAACTCTGCCTTTCAAATAAGTAAATAAATCTTTAAAAAAGATTCAATACTTTATTATTAACGATTTTGCATTGTGTTTAGCAAGGACTAATGATTATAGAGGCATTGTAACATTAATTATTTATGAATTATTCTTTTATATTCTCCCAGGCTCCTATTATACCTATACAGATCACAATTTTTAGATAAATATGTATTCATTGTCTTCATTATTATACTCTTAAGTATTAATATTTCACTGCTGAAACAAAAGGTATACTATGTTTACATTTTCTTTCTTTTATAACTTTTCCCAGTTTAAATTTTTCTTTCTCTCTTTTTCTCATTTTCTTAGTAGTCTTTTAATGTGGGATGAAGGTTTTCCACATGCCCCACAGGTTTTATAAAATACTCTTCAATAGAAAAATTCACATAGCTAGTCGGTTCCATTTTTTCCTAAGATAACTTTCCTGATTCTTCCTTCTATTTGCTCCAATAGGCACATTTTAAGAATTAGGGGACCAAGCACAAGGACTATCTCCCACTGCCTTTCCAGACTCATTAGCAGGAAATTGGACCTGAAGCCAAGCAGCCAGGACTAGAACTGGCCTTCCAAGTTGGAACACCAGTGTCATGATCTGCGACTTTACCCGCTGCAGCACACCTTCAGCCCCATAGTGTTTTAATGATATGCATTTTCCGTGAACTTTTTGAAGACCCCTGTTATGCGTGGATTTCAAAATTTTTTGCCAGCGCCGTGGCTCAATAGGCTAATCTTCCACCTTGCGGCGCCAGCACACAGGGTTCTAGTCCCGGTCGGGGTGCTGAATTCTGTGTCGGTTGCCCCTCTTCCAGGCCAGCTCTCTGCTATGGCCCGGGAGTGCAGTGGAGGATGGCCCAAGTGCTTGGGCCCTGCACCCCATGGGAGACCAGCAGAAGCACCTGGCTCCTGCCTTCAGATCAGTGTGATGCGCCTGCTGTGGCAGCCATTGGAGGGTGAACCAATGGCAAAAGGAAGACCTTTCTCTCTGTCTCTCTCTCTCTCACTGTCCACTCTGCCTATCAAAAGTAAAAAAAAAAAAAATTTTTTTTTGCACTAAAATAAGCTTATCTTTTAAAGGTTTCCACAAACTTCTTAGAGAACACCTGTTTATTGAAACAATGCTTTTAAATTCATTTAGGCATACTACTTTGTTTTCTTATACTTCTATGAATCCAGTAATTTTTGTTCAATGCTAAATCGTATTGTAAACTTTTTGAAGATATTTAAATAGCAAAATTTTTAGGGCATGTCTAATATTAACGATGTACAAACTAACTTATAAAATGAACAGTGTAACTAATATACATATATTTGCATAGGATTGACAACTATGTCCCAACTGTTGCCTGTGCTAAAATGTCATCACTTTTAATGTGCATCTTATTTCAGAGATGTTAAGATGTAAAAAATATGATTTGTAATAATAGTTGGAACATAATATAGTTTGATTTTCCTAAATAGAATTGGTTTCTTCACAAATTTTTTATGTTTTTCTGTGTCTCAAATTCTAACATGAATTGTTTATATATGTGTGTGTGTCTGTTTATATATATACATATATATAGACATAGATATATAAATACAGGTATAGGTATGAATACATACACACACATATTTTCTTTTTACCAAAATAAATTGACTAATGAGTTCTGTTTTCTAGTTCCCAGATAAAGAAAACTTTCCAAAAGAAGATACTGTCTTTAATATTGAAGGCAATTTTCAAGTGTTAGCTGAGTGTGCTAAGGACTCAATTGAAAATAATTGTAAGTAAATTGTTAAGTTAAATATGCACTTAAAAATTACTTGACATTAAAAAACTTATGTAAATATTCCTCCTTTTTTTCCCTCGAATATCAATTTTAGGTTTCCTTCCAAAAGATTCAGAAAATTCATATAATTATTTGGATTATAATTTTAAATCAGCAGAGAAGACTCTGTGGGAAGCAAATAAGGTATGCTATAAACAGAATTTTAGTAGTTGTGAGTAAAAAAATATTGGATAGTCTCACAAGACATGAATCTATTAAAAACTAGAAAGATAAAATCTGAAGACTGGACAGTTTTTAAGAAAAGACTTAAAATGTTTATTGATATTGTTTTAGGGATGAAACAGCAGAGTAATTTCTTTTAGAATAGTAACAAAATATGAGTGACTGCTGTGTTCTTTGTTATTTAAAATTGTTTTGCTTTTTGAAATATAATGTTAAGTGAGAGGCATACATAATTAGAAAAGACAGAGTAGATCTAACATTGATGGCAACTTAAAAGTTTAAGAATAATTTGGTAAAGGAGCTGAAGACAAGAGAAACTTGAAAATTAATAACTTTCACATACCAATAAGAAAATGAGTATCCACAATAGTAATAAATTATATAAAATGCCTAGGTATAATCTCAATTGGACATGTGCAGGATGTGCAAGAAATAGATAATAAGATTTACTGTGAGGGTCAGCATTTTGCATGGTGGTTAAGATGTTGATTGAGATGCCCATGTTGAAGTGCCTGTGTTTGATTCCTAGCTTTGGCTTCCTGCTAATGTGCACCCTGGGAAGGAGTAGATGATGGTTCAAGTGTGTAGGTCTCAGCCATCCACCTACCAATTATAGTGCATAACAGCTCTGTCTCTCCCTCTCTCTCAATCTATCCCCCACATCATTCTTTGCCTCTCTACATTTCAAATTTTAAAAAAAGAATAACAAAAAGTTTTTAGTTTTACTATGAAATATAAAATTCATGAATTTAGCACCTTTAAAAATAAATGTGTGTGCTTTTACTTGGTTTGGCTTCTTTTTAATATGATTATGTATTTTTGTTTGTTTTTTCCTTAAAGACCTTATTTCCAAATACAGTTCACACTGAAGGTTAGGTCTTCAAGATATGAAATTTTGGCAAGAACACAGTTCAGTGCAGAGCAAGGAGGAACAGGTTTGGTGAATATACAGAAACAGACAAGGAACATTTGTGGGACAGTCAAGTAGAAATGTTAAATAAGAAGTTGGGCTCATGGGTCTGGTTTAGAAGAGATGTTTGTACATTCATCTATACGTAGAAACTTTAAAACACCAAGAGTAAATGAGTTCATTTAATGAGAGTGTAAAAAGAAGAAAATGGGTTATATCTCATTCTCAAAAAATTAGAATGGAGAGAGTTGAGCCGTTTATTGCTGAAAAAGCCAATAGAATCAAGATAGAAGTGTGGTCATTTCGCTTAGCAACTTGAAGGTCTTTGGTGACCTTGCAAGAACAATTTTAGTGAGGGTAGAAACCAATGTAGAGTGCACTAAAAATGAATAAGATATAAGAGAATGGAAATGTGTGTATGGCAAACTCTTTAAAAAGATAAGCATGTTTTGTCAGTCTCTGATATAGGAAATATTTCTGGAGCCACCACTCTGTTGCACACTACTCCCCTTGCGAGACCTATGAACAAAACAAGCAAAATCCTGCTCTTGTAGAGCTTACATTCTAATGAAGGGAGACAGACAAAAATAAATACGCAGTTCCTCAGTGCATTTTAAATGCTGTGTAGAATCATTTAGTTGTGTTAAGGAGGACAGAGGGTAGAGGTGGGATGGAGATCTATTTCATGTAGATAGGTAAGGCCTCTCTGATAAGTTGCCATGGGAGTAGAAATCTGAATAAAGGGTGGGAGAGAGTCATGTAGCTATCTATTGGAAGAGTATACCAGGCACAGTGAATAACAGTGCAAAAAATTTCAAGGCAGGAGAAGATGAGCCAATTTGTAGTTCAGCATAGAGTCTGTTATGACTTGAGTAAGTGAGAAAGGGAGTGCTAGAACCAAGTTTAAAGGGGAGGTATGCATCCTGCTCTGGTAGAGCCTTGCAGGGCTTTGTAAGGCTGTTTTGTAAGCTTTGCAGGGCTGTTTTGTACTTAAGAGTTTGGGAGCTACTGGAGGGTGTTGATCAGAGCTGCAAAATGATAGAACTTAAAAAGAATTCTCCAGCAAGTTTGTGGAGAATGTAATAGGGAAACAGCATGGAATATTCAACAAGTATTGCCTATTACTGTTATTTTTGTTGACGGGACAATGAGGTCTAGACTGTTTAGGTTTGAATCCCAACTCTATTGCTTATAGAATGGATGAATTGAAGCAAATTTAACTGCTTCACTGCTCTTTTTTTGTCGGTCTCCTCAGTTGTAAAATGAGGAAAATAAGAATGCTTGCCTTATATGGTTGTGACAAGGATCAAACAAGTTAAAAATATATAGTGCTTGAAACAGTCCCTGTTTTAATCATAGTAAGAACATAGTAAGACATAGTAAAAACCATATTATATAGTAAAATTATTGTAATGGTGATGATTATATTATAATTCCCCTTTTGTTTGTATCTTCAGTTAGACCAAACTCCTTGAGTATAGGGACTATGAGTACTCATTGTCATCCTTAGTTCCTAGCATAATTCTTGGAACCCAGTGACTAATCAAGAAAATATTTTAAGAATTTAAGCATTAAGATTTCATTTTTAAAAGTTCATTCTTTCTTCACTGTTCTCTAGTTATTTTAATGTTTTTAAGATTTACCTATTTATTTGAAAGACAGAGTTTATATATATATATGGGAGAGGGGAGGGCTTCCATCCGCTGGTTTACTCCCCAAATGGTGGCAACGGCCAGGGCTGGGCCAGGCCAAAACCAGGAGCCAAGAGCTTCTTCTGGATCTCTCAACATGAGTGCAGGGACCCAAGCACTTGAGCCCTCTTCAGCTGCTTTCCCAGGCCACTGGCAGGGAGCTGGATAGGAAGTGGGACAGCTAGGACTTGAACCAGCACCCATATGGGATGCTGGCATTGCAGGCGGCAGTTTTACCTGCTGCACCATAGCACTGGCCCCCAGGATTAAGATTTTAAAAAGTACTTCTTTATCTTATTTATTTGAAATAAATACACAGACACCAGATTTCCCTTCCACTGTTTTATTCCTCAAATTCCTGAAACAGCAAGGCTGAGACAGGCTGAAGCCAGAAGCCAGTAATGCAGTCTTGGTGTTCCACTTCAGTGACAGGAACCCAACTACTTGAACTATCACTTGCTGCCCTCCAAGGGTGTGTGTTATTATCAGGAAGATGGAATTGGGAGTGGAACAATGGAACTTGAACCCAAGTACCCCTATATGGGATGCAGGTGTCCCATGTGACGTTTCTCTCTCTCGCTCTTTTTTTTTTTTAAGATTTTTATTTATTTATTTGACAGGTAAAGTTACAGAGATAGAGACAGAGAGAAAGGTCTTCCATCCACTGGTTCATTCCCCAAATGGCTACAATGGCCAGAGCTGCACCGATCTGAAGCCAGGAGCTTCTTCCGGGTCCCCCGTGTGGGTACAAGGGCCCAAATGCTTGGGCCATATTCCACTGCCCTCCCAGGCCATAGCAGAGAGCTGGATTGGAAGAGGAGTAGCCAGGACTAGAACCGGTGCCTGTATGGGATGCTGACACCTCAGGCAGAAGATTAACCTACTCTGCCACAGTGCCCATGTGACATCTTAACTGCTATGCAAAATGTCCACCCTGAAACCTTTAATCTATATTGTCATACATACACATACTCAAAAGAAGTTCAAACCATTAAGAACAGTATGAAGTTATAAATATGGCCGGCGCCGCGGCTCACTAGGCTAATCCTCCGCCTAGCGGCACCGGCACACCGGGTTCTAGTCCCGGTCGGGGCGCCGGATTCTGTCCCGGTTGCCCCTCTTCCAGGCCAGCCCTCTGCTGTGGCCAGGGAGTGCAGTGGAGGATGGCCCAGGTGCTTGGGCCCTGCACCCCATGGGAGACCAGGAAAAGCACCTGGATCCTGGCTCCTGCCAGGATCAGCGCGGTGAGCCGGCTGCAGCGGCGGCCATTGGAGGGTGAACCAACAGCAAAGGAAGACCTTTCTCTCTCTGTCTCTCTCTCTCACTGTCCACTCTGCCTGTCAAAACAAACAAACAAAAAAAAAAAAAAACAGAAAAAAACAGTTCACTCTGGAAGCAATATCTTTTTTTTTCCTAATTGGGCATGATTAACTAAATAGATGACTCAATTTTTAAAAGCCTTTTATGTGAAAATACCCACTATAAAGTTTTTAAAAATTTAGTTCTCAGAAGTAGGATTAATGAGGTTTGCTATAACCTTTATATATATATGTTCATTAATACTGTATTTTTGCTTAAACAGCATCTTTTATCATTGATGTTGAAGATGGAAACCTCAGCTCCATTCTGGTCAAATTATCAAGAGCTTAAAAAGAATGATAGTTCAAATGATTGAGTTGGAAGGAATATCTTGAAGTTTAGATAAACTGTAGATAAACCCTGAGTACGTCTGGGAAAACTGATCAGTGTTTTGAGTATGCAGGAATTTAGACCTTCATAGTTCCATACGTGAGGTGTGATTTGACCTAAGCCCCTTAGGATGGAAATTGATCTTCAGAACCAACTCCCTATAACCAGATCAGTCTAAATTAGAAACCATCTATTTAAATAAATCAAAAGACTTTTATACTCTGTACTTTATTTTCTATTTTTCTTACTGATTTTAATGAGTCTATTTTATCCTGTACTTTTTGGAAGAAGACTTATAGTTCTGTGTTCCCATGGTAACTTTATAATGTGCTTAAAATTGTGATTTTTTTTTATAACATTGATTACTAGAATTCATTCAAACTATAGGGAAAAAGTAAGATTTTGGACTGTAGCTTTTTTTCTTCTTTCTGGACAGGTGACATCATCAGAGCAAACATTGAACCCTGTTTCTACTTTCTCACTGAACTCAAGAGATGGAGATTTCATGCTAGAATTCTCTAAGGAGTCCTTGAAAGCAAGAACTTTACATGGTGACCTTCATTTTGTCAACTTAGAGGATAGTTGTTACCAGATTACCCCAATATCTGTCTGTCCATGTAAAAAGAAGTTTTTTATTTGTTTGTTACTAAGTTAAACAATTGTCTTGGGACCAGATCCACTGTTAGAACTCTTGAAACCTTCCCACACCCTTTCTTCCTTTTGATTTTTTTCTGTTATAGATACCTATTTCAAGTACAAGACTCCCTTTCAGTTCCTTCTTATTTCTCTTCTCACCTTTCTTATCACAGGTTTCTAAAAGTGTCTTCTACCATTATCAATATATATTTTTTTTTTGACAGGCAGAGTGGACAGTGAGAGAGAGAGAGACAGAGAAAGGTCTTCCTTTGCCGTTGGTTCACCCTCCAATCGCACTGATCCGAAGGCAGGAGCCAGGTGCTTCTCCTGGTCTCCCATAGGGTGCAGGGCCCAAGCACTTGGGCCATCCTCCACTGCCTTTCTGGGCCACAGCAGAGAGCTGGCCTGGAAGAGGGGCAACTGGGAAAGAATCCGGTGCCCCGACCGGGACTAGAACCCGGTGTGCTGGCGCCGCTAGGTGGAAGATTAGCCTGTTGAGCCGCGGCACCAGCCATCAATATTTTTCATAGCTATTACCCCAGAGCCCAACTCCTTTACAGCCCTTTCATTTCTTGTGGAATGATTCTTCGTGAATGTCTCATCGATACCATTGCTTAACCCTAACACAATCTTTTAATTCCCCACCCCTTTTGTTTTGCTCTGATATCCTGTCAATAGCAAGAAATTCCTCAGGCCTCTATGTTTTCATACATTTTTGACTCTTTATTATGAGTAATATCCTGCTTCTTGTTAAGTGTAGTACTATTCTGTAGGATCCCTTTAACTAGCTTTTTTCTCTTTCCTTATAATTTCATCAGTATATTTTCCCATGATTCTGAAGTTATGCTGGGTGGCAAGGTTGTGAGTGGATGACATAAAGAAAAAAAATGTTGGATGACATAAAGAAGAAAAGTAGATGGTCTGGTGAAGTTTTAGTGGGTATGGTTGGTAGAAGTTAACAAAGTAGACAAGAGTTAATATGGGAGGAGTGGGTATTCTAAAGCAAATGTAGTAGCAGTGGAATCAAATATCATTTCCACAGTTATGCCATGAATCTTTTATTTCTTTAATGCAGTTTTAACTTTTCTGTCAGCATTGTTTGATTGACTTGTTAGAAATATAGCATAGTATATTTTGAAAGAGTATTCATTGGCTCATCTTCTGCATTATTACTTTCTGAATCATTTCCAGTTTTTTTCCAAACAAAACAGAAACTGTCAGGAAGGTACATTACTATAAAACAGGAATTAATAGCTCTGTAAAATTAAAACTTTAAGCTTATGTAGCTCTTATGAAGTGTTAGTTAATTATGTATTCAAATATGTGTTACTTCTTACATTTCCTGGAATATTTCTTACTCAAGCTACTTGCAGGTAGAAGTACTTATGAAAGTCTTTCAGGCAAAATCTGCCATGACTTTACCAAAATTGTATTTTTATCACATATCATAGTCCAAAGGAAGCTAAAGTCTTCCTTGCTCTGAAGGGTAAATAAGTATGATAAGTATATAAAGGAAAAAAAAATATATAAAGGAAGCCACAATCACATTGTTAGGCCATTGAGCCGTGAACTTTAGTCTTTGTGGAAGGTATATAAAGTAGATACAAAAAAAAAATTAGTTCTGAGGGTCTTGTCCTCACTCTGCCAGTTGGTAAATAATGTTACCTCTGTAGTCTCATCTGTAAATAGAATGATGTGTACTTTTTTGGCTTTAAAGTGCTTTGAGGGGCAATATTGTGGGGCAGTGGGTTAAGTTACTGCTACAATGCAGGCATCCTGTAGGAGTGCCGGTTCAAATGCTGACTGCTCCACTTTTTTTTTTTTTTTTTTTTGACAGGCAGAGTGGACAGTGAGAGAGAGAGACAGAGAGAAAGGTCTTCCTTTACCTCCAATGGCCGCTATGGCAGGCACATTGAGGCCAGCGTACCACGCTGATCCGAAGCCAGAAGCCAGGTGCTTCTCCTGGTCTCCCATGCGGGTGCAGGGCCCAAGCACTTGGGCCATCCTCCACTGCCCTCCCGGGCCACAGCAGAGAGCTGGACTGGAAGAGGAGCAACCAGGACTAGAACCCAGTGTGCCAGTGCCGCAGGCGGAGGATTAGCCTATTGAGCCACGGTGCCGGCCACTGCTCCACTTCAGATTCAGCTTCCTCCACTTTCCCATGGAAAACAACGGAAGATGATCTGAGTACTTGGGCCCCTGTCACCTACATGGAAGACCTGGGTGGAATTCCTGGCTCCAGGCTTTAGCCTGGCCCAGCCCCGTTTGTTGTGATCATTTGGGGAGTGAAACAACAGATGGAAGCTCTCTGTTGTCTGTCTCTCCTTCTCTCTCTGTAACTCTGCCTTTCAAATCAATAAAGGATTTTTTTTAAGAAAAAAGGTGCTTTGGAAACTTAAGTGCTATATAAATATGAAATAATAATTAGGAAAAATATTCTTAGCTAAGGAGAAAAAGAAAAAGAGGACTATAAGATAATCAACCTTAAAAGAATTTCAGAGTCTTCATTTGTTGAGACTAAAACATTATTTTTTTATATTTGTAGGGCAAGTTTATACTTCTTGCTTTTGTGTAGATATCCACTTTTTCTAGAGCTGGGGTGATGACTTGTAGTACATTATTTAATCAGTATTCTGTTTCTTTCAGGAACAAAAAAGTCCAGTCCTCTGGAAAGTAAGAGCATTCAAAGGCTTCCATTAGTAAGTAGAGTCCGAGTTCCACTTATTACTTTGCCGTCTGCTGATGGGCCACCTGACTTAGATTCGTGTTCCTGTGTAATTGATTGTGACACACAAGAATCTTCTGATTCCCCTTTTTTCAACTTGTATGAAGAGTCAGCAGTTCCTTGTAGCTTTGGGCCTGGGGACCAAAGTGAAACTTCTTTCTCTGAAGAATCTAGGAAAGTGACTCCATGGGATGTTTTACTTCCTGATAATAAACCTACTCAAAGCAAGTGGCTGAAATATCAAAACACATCCCAGTGCAACTTGACTATTCCAGACAGAGTGGATCAGAAAGTAACAGATTGCTACTTTGCTGAGGCAGTTTCTGGGCTGCATGTTAGTGACACAGGTGAAAGGCAGAGTGATGCTATGAATGATATCTCGTTAGACTGTTTGCATTTGCAAATGATGAAAGGCATGCTGTATCAGCAGCAGGATTTTAGCAGTCAAGATTTGGTTTCCAGAAAGACAGCACTGTCTTTGAGTTTAAAGCAAACTTCCAGGACTGAGGAAATTCAACCTGTGTTAGGAGGGGCTGCCTGCTTCAACTACAGTGTAAAGGATTTACAGGTGAGGACATGTAGCAGTCTCTTGGTGCATTTTCTTCTAATGCTTACTACTTGAATTTCAACAAAAGAAGTACCAAAACTGTATACCAGCCAGTTTTATTCTTGGAGCAAATAGCTTATTTTTTTTTTAAGATTTATTTATTTATTTGAAAAGTAGAGTTACAGAGAGGCAGAGAGAGAGAGAGAGGTCTTCCATACGCTGGTTCACTCCCCAAATAGCTGCAATGGCTGGAGCTGAGCCAATCCAGAGTTAGGAGCCAGGAGCTTCTTCTGGGTCTCCCATGTGGGTGCAGGGACCCAAGCACTTGGGCCATCTTCTACTGCTTTCCCAGGCCACAGCAGAGAGCTGGATCAGAAGAGGAGCAGCTGGGACCCGAACCGGTGCCCATGTGGGATGCTGGCACTGCAGGCGGTAGCTTTACCCGCTGGGCCACAGTGCTGGCCTGCAAATGGCTTTTTTTAAGCCCTTCAGAACTCTAGCTATAGTCACATCTTCACCTTTGACTTAAAATCTTTCTTGGTAGTTGTGAATATGAAATGAAATTATTATATATTTCAAAGTATGTGTTGCAGTGTCTAGCATGAAATAGGAGTTTAATTAGTCATAGCTCCTTATTCCTTTTCTACTGCTACTTCTACTACTCTGTTACTGTGCTTGTTTGTATTTTTGGCTGTCAGCTCAGTTTTGCTGATCAGATCATTATTAGGGTAAAAATATATCTGTTAAACATTGGTTGTAAAAAAAAAGAATAAAGTTGAGTCACTTTACCAAAAAAAAAATTGGTTGTAATTTTTTTTTTTATCTTTTATTTAATGAATATAAATTTCCAAAGTGTACGACTCATGGGTTACAATGGCTTCCCCCCCCATACCGTCCCTCCCACCCACAACCCTCCCCTTTCCCACTCCCTCTCCCCTTCCATTCACATCAAGATTCATTTTCGATTATCTTAATATACAGAAGATCAGCTTAGTATACCTTAAGTAAGGATTTCAACAGTTTGCTCCCACACAGAAACATAAAGTGAAAAATAATAGATGATTTTTTTTTTAAATGATGATGAAATCAGATCAGACCTATTGTCATGTTTAATCCCAGTGAGAGTCAAGTTGGGAATTGATAATTTCTTTCTGTTTTTTTTTTTTTTTTTTTACAGAAGATCAGTTTAGTGTACATTAAGTAAAGATTTCAATCGTTTGCACCCCCATAGAAACACAAAGTGAAATATACTGTTTGAGTACTCGTTATAGCATTATGCCTCAATGTACAGCACATTAAGGACAGAGATCCTACATGAGGAGTAAGTGCACAGTGACTCCTGTTGTTGACTTTACAAATTGACACTCCTGTTTATGGCATCAGTAATCTCCCTATGCACCAGTCATGAGTTTCCAAGGCTATGGAAGCCCCTTGAGTTCTCCGACTCTTATCTTGTTTAGACACGGTCATAGTCAAAGTGGAGGTTCTCTCCTCCCTTCAGAGAAAGGTACCTCCCTCTTTGAAGACCTGCTCTTTCCACTGGGATCTCACTCACAGAGATCTTTTTGCCAGAGTGTCTTGGCTTTCCATGCCTGGAATACTCTCATGGGCTTTTCAGCCAGATCCGAGTGCCTTTAGGGCTGATTCTGAGGCCAGAGTGCTATTTAGGACATCCACCATTCTATGAGTCTGCTGAGTATCTCACTTCCCATATTGGATCACTCTCCCCTTTATTTATTCTATCGGTTAGTGTTGGTTGTAATTTTTTTTAAGATTTATTTATTTATTTATTTCAAAGACAGAGAGTGAGGAGAGGGAGACAGAGTTCTGAGTTATCCTCTATCCTCTGGTTCACTCCCCAAATGCCTGCAATAGCTGGGGCTGGGCCAGACCAAAGCTAGGAGCCAGGAATTTCATCTGGGCCTCCCATGTGCATAGCAGGGAGGAGCTCAAGTACTTGGGCCATAACTGCTGCTTCTCGGGCCCATTAGCAGGAAACCGGATTGGAAGTGAGGTATCCAGAACTTAAACGAGGCACTCCAGTTTGAATGTGAGCATCCTAAGTGGCAGCTTAACCTGCTGTGCCACAGTGCCTTTCTTACTATAGTCATAACCAGGAATAGATATATGATGATCCAGTCACATCAGTTAAATTTTTCCTAGCAAAAAATATTAAAGAACTTATTCCAGGGCAAATAAAGAAAGGTATTTTGATTTAGAGTTAAAAGGTGCTACACATAGCTATTTTTTTCCCAAAGAAACTTTTTATTTAAGGAATACTAACTTTTTGCATTTCATAATTACAACTTTAGGAGCAGTGATTCTTCCTACCATACCCACCCTCCCACCCACACTTCTACCCCTCATCCTCCTCCCTCTCTTATTCCTAGTCTTATTTTTTACTAAGATCTATTTTTGATTAACTTTATACACAGAAGATTGACTCTGTAAATCAAAGAGTTAAACAAATTGTATGAGAAAAAAAATGTTCAACAGTTGAGACAAAGGCTGTTCAAAGTTGATTTCACTTTTTTTAAGCATTCTTTTGTTTTTTGAGAAAATTAATTAAAGAAGAACCCAAGAATGATACATCTTTTGTGAGCACTTAGACATAACTATAACTTATGAGACATAAGACTATCCTCCACTTAATACACTAAAATGAAATAAATCTTTGAGAACAAGTTTTACTATTAACTCTCATAATACAACTCTTTGAGGACAGAGGTCCTGCATGGGAAGTTAGTGCATAGTGACTCCTGTTGTTAAATTAACAATTAACACTCTTACGTATGATGTCAGTGATCACCTGAGGCTCTTGACAATAGCTATTCCTACTATACTTGGTTTGTCATTTAAAATCAGAAAATTTTCAGATTTTAGAAGTGAAAATAAAAACTAAATGTTTTGCTAAACATATTTATGAAATAATATGCTCATTAGCAAATAGGATTTTTTAGAGTAGTTATAATAATTTGAATTATTCTATTTCAGGAGATAAATGACACTGAGCTGTGCTTCCCAAGTGGCCAGAAAATGAAATCTGCTTATCTTCCCCGAAGGCAAATTCATATACCAGCTATTTTTCAGTCTCCTGCTCATTATAAGCAGATTTTTACATCTTCTATCATAGGTATGACTCATATTTTTATTTTATTATGATTGATGCTTAACATAGTAGTAGAACTGTGAGAAAGTTTAATATCTTAAGAATATTCATACTAAATTCTCCAGTTGAGATTTGCTATTGTCCGTATGTATACTCCAATTTGTGGCAGGAACTTTTATTCTAAATTCAGGTCAAAATTGAGTTTTAAAATTGTAAATTGGCGCTGGAGTTGTGGCATATCAGCCCTCTGCTAATGGCCTGGGAAGAGCAGCAGAAGATGGCACAAGTGTTTGGGACCCTGCCAGCCATGTGAAAGACCTGATTGGAGCTTCTGGCTCCTTGCTTCATTTTGGTCCAGCCCTGGCCATTTTGGCCATCTGGGGAGTGAACCAGCAGACGGAAAGATATCTCTCTCTCTCTCTGTCTCTCCTGTCCTGTAACTCTGACTTTAAAAATAAGTACATCTTTTGGGCCAGCACCGTGGCTCACTTGGTTAATCCTCTGCCTGCGGCGCCAGCATCCAATATGGGCACTGGGTTCTAGTCCCGGTTGCCCCTCTTCTAGGCCAGCTCTCTGCTGTGGCCCAGGAGTGCAGTGGAGGATGGCCCAGGTGCTTGGGCCCTGCACCCGCATGGGAGACCAGGAGGAAGCACCTGGCTCCTGGCTTTGGATTGGCACAGCATGCCGGCTGTAGTGGCCATTTAGGGGGAAGGAAGGAAGGAAGACCTCTCTCTCTGTCTCTCTCTCACTGTCTAACTCTGCCTGTCAAAAAAAAAAAAAAAGTACATCTTTTAAGAAAAGTAAATTAGCAGGCATGGAAAGCCAAGACACTCTGGAAAAAAAAAAAAGCAGATCTAAATGAAAGATCTCTGCGAGTGAGATCCCAGTGGAAAGAATGGGGCCATCAAAGAAGGAGGTACCTTTCTCTGAAGGGAGGAGAGAACTTCCACTTTGACTATGACCCTGTCGGAATAAGATCAAAGTCGGCGAACTCAAAAGGCTTCCATAGCCTTGGCAACTCATGACTAGAGCCTAGGGAGATTACTGACGCCATAAACAAGAGTGTCAAATTGTTAAGTCAACAACAGGAGTCACTGTGTACTTACTTCTCATGTGGGATCTGTCCTTAATGTGTTGTCCAATGTGAAGTAATGCTATAACTAGTACTGACACAGTATTTTACACTTTGTGTTTCTGTGTGGGTGCAAACTGATGAAATCTTTACTTAATATATACTAAATTGATCTTCTGTATATAAAGATAATTGAAAATGAATCTTGGCCGGTGCCGCAGCTCACTAGGCTAATCCTCCGCATTGCGGCGCCGGCACACCGGGTTCTAGTCCTGGTCGGGGTGCCGGATTCTGTCCTGGTTGCTGCTCTTCCAGGCCAGCTCTCTGCTGTGGCCAGGGAGTGCAGTGGAGGATGGCCCAAGTGCTTGGCCCCTGCACCCCCATGGGAGACCAGGAGAAGCACCTCGCTTCTGCCATCGGATCAGTGCGGTGCGCCGGCCGCAGCGGCCATTGGAGGGAGAACCAACGGCAAAGGAAGACCTTTGTCTCTCTGTCTCTCTCTCTCTCACTGTCCACTCTGCCTGTCAAAAAAAAACAAAAAAAAGAATCTTGATGTGAATGGAATGGGAGAGATCTTGATGTGAATGGAATGGGAGAGGGAGGGGGAGGTGGGAGGGGTGGAAGTGGGAGGGAAATTATGGGGGGGGAAGCCATTGTAATCCATAAACTGTACTTTGGAAATTTATATTTACTAAATAAAAAAATAAATTAAAAAAAAAAGAAAAGTAAATTAGCAAGATTAACTTCAGAGCAGGAGTTTGCTTAGAACATCTGTATCACATATCAGAGTGCCTGATTTGGGTCCTGGCTCTGCTTCTGATTCCAATTTCCTGCAAATTCAAATTCCTAGAGACAGCTAGTGCTAGCTCATGTAGTTGGGTCCCTACTGCTCACGTAGGAGACTGGGATCGAGTTTGACCCGTAGGTCTATTAGCCCAGGCTGTTGTGGACTTTGGAGAGTAAACTAGCAGATGGAAGATTCTCTCTCTCTCTGCCTTTCAAGTAAGTAAGAATAGTAAATGAAAAAATTTTTAAAGTTAAGGTTTTTCATTTTTTAAAACTAGAGTTACCAGTGACCTTATTAAATTTGTGGAAAGTTTTAAGCGTGTTACATAATTAGGTCTGAGTATTTTGAGGTATAAAGGCAAAAGTTGCCTTTTAAAAAATGATATATTATAGTTGGCTTGGTTAAAAGGCTATTTTCAAATCTAGTTGATAGACATATTTGTAATTATTTTGTATTTAATTTTCAGCTATATCTCTTTTTTTTTTGTAGAACATCTAAATATATTGCTATTTGAGTTGGCATATAGGTTGCACAAAGCTCTTTCAAAAGTTAACATATCATTTTATACATCATCAAATGGAGAGAAACTGAAAAACTTGGAAAATAATGTACCATCCTGCCATCATAATCAACCTGCAAAACTTGTTATGGTTAAAAAAGAAGGTCCAAATAAGGTATAGTTCCTACTTCCTTCCCTCCACCTTACGAAGTATTTGTCTTATAAAAAGTTTACGTACCTATTGCTTTATGACAAACTTGAAGAGTGAGTGCTGTTTAAGAGCCTTCTATTTGATGCATTAATAATTAACATGTAGTAAATTCTCAACATACTATTATGAAAAGAATAATCCGTGTTCTAGGATGCAAAAATATGATTAAAAAATCAATCTTCAAAGGGCAGGCATTTGCCCTAGTGGTTAAACAGCCAGCTTGGTTCCTTTTTAGAGTCTCTAGGTTCAAGTCCCAGCTTCATTCCTAACTCTAGCTTCCTGCTAATGCTAATATGGTACCCTAGGAGGCAGCAGATGATGGCTCAACTAGTTGGATCCCTGCCTCCTGGATGGAATTCCAGCTTCTGGCTTAGGCCTGGCCTAGCCCTGGCCTTTGCAGATATTTGGGATGTCAACCAGTGGGTAGGATCTCTCTCTGTGTCTTCTGTCTCTATTTCTTAAATAAAGAAAATTTAAAAAAAAATCAACCTTCAACTCTTTCTCTGTCTCTCTCACTGTCTAACTCTGCCTGGTTAAAAAAAAAAAAAGAAAGAAAGAAAGAAAGAAAGGTTGAAACCAGACTGCTAAGTAATCCTTAGTAATAGTAACAGGTAAGGCTAGGGGGATAAAAAAAATATACTAGACACAGGAGACCTCAAATAGCTAAAGCTATCTTGTACAACAAAAAGCCAGAGGCATCACAATACCAGATTTCAGGACATACTACAGGGCAGTTGTTATCAAAACAGCATGGTACTGGTACAGAAACAGATGGATAGACCAATGGAACAGAATAGAAACAACAGAAATCAATCCAAACATCTACAGCAAACCTGTATTTGATCAAGGATCCAAAACCAATTCCTGGAGTAAGGACAGTCTATTCAATAAATGGTGCTGGGAAAAAAAAAAATACTAAACTTATATTGCTAGTAATATATTTAGGAGGAAATCAGATTGACAGATGACTTTTACTTATTTGTAAGACTGTGCTTAGTAATACAATTTTCCTCTTCTGTCTGTATATTGTATTTCATCAATAGTTGAGGGTGTAAACTTTGGATTCAAATTTAAATGTTGGGTAAAATGGAGTTGAGGGAGGAATAGGAAAGTGTTGATTAATCAAATTATAGTTAGATAGTAATCAGAACTTCTGGTGTTCTGTGGCACAGTAAGAGGACCATAGATAATGTTAATGTGCTATATATTTCTCTCTTAAAGTAGAAAACTTAAAAGGAAGGATGTTTTCATCAGGAAGAAATGTTAGATGTTTGAGGAGACAGATATGTATACCTTGACTGGATATTCCACACTGTATACATGTGTAGAAACATGTGGTACCACATGAATAACTTTTATATATCAGTTAGAGATAAAATAAATAAATAAAATTTGTCTAAAGCAGGAATTAATAAAAATAGTATAACCATATAATTAAATGTTATATAGTGACTGAAGTCTGCTTTCTTTTTAAGATCATTCAATGATATGATTTCATGCTCATATTATGTTGTTAGAGAAAAGGGCTGGTTACAGAGTAGGAAATGTATTATTATCTGAGTTTTTTAAAAAATATATATTTATGTATTCTTGTGTGTGTATGTATTTGTATATGTTATGTGAGAGAAAAGAATAAAAGGAAATGCATAAGATACTGCTTATAGTTGTGTCAGAGTAGCTTGAATTGTCTATAGTGAACATTTTGCATCATAAAAACAATAAATCTTAAATTTATTGTTAATGTTCAAATACTTACGGGCTGATTCTGAGGCCAGAGTGCTGTTTAGGACATCTGCCATTCTATGGGTCTGCTGTGTATCTCACTTCCCATGTTGGATCGTTCTCTCCCTTTTTTATTCTATCAGCTAATATTTGCAGACACTAGTCTTATTTATGTGCTCCCTTTGGCTCTTAGTCCTATCATTATGATCAATTGTGAACAGAAATTGATCACCAGGACTAGTGAGATGGCATTGGTACATGCCACCTTGACGCGGATCTGGCTGAAAAGCCCATGAGAGTATTACAGGCATGGAAAGCCAAAACACTCTGGCAAAAAAAAAAAAAAAAAACCTAAATGAAAGATCTCCGTGAGTGAGATCCCAGTGAAAAGAACAGGTCATCAAAGAAGGAGGTACCTTTCTCTGAAGGGACGAGAGAACTTCCACTCTGACTACGACCTTGTCTAGATATGATCAGAGTCGGTGAACTCAAAAGGGTTCCATAGCCTTGGCAGCTCATGACGAGAGCCTAGGGTGATTACTGATGCCATAAACAAGAGTGTCAATTTGTTAAGTCAACAACAGGAGTCACTGTGCACTTACTCCTCATGTAGGATCTCTGTCCTTAATGTGCTGTACATTGTGATTTAATGCTGTAACTAGTACTGAAACAGTATTTTTTCACTTTGTGTTTCTATGTGGGTGCAAACTGTTGAAATCTTTACTTAATACATGCTAAACTGATCTTCTGTATATAAAGAGAATTGAAAATGAATCTTGATGTGAATAGAAGGGGGGAGGGAGCGGGAAAGGGGAGGGTTGCGGGTGGGAGGGAAGTTATGGGGGGGAAGCCATTGTAATCCATAAGCTGTACTTTGGAAATTTATATTCATTAAATAAAAGTTAAAAAAAATTCAAATACTTTTTTATTCTTAGAATAATATAATATAGTGACAATTTACTAGAGTACTTTACTGCCAAACAATTTTTATAGGAGCCTTGACAAATAAAACACAAAAATAGTAGAAAAGCAAAAATATTTTTCTTATTAGGTTTTACTATCTTTTCTCTTAGGGTCGACTCTTTTATACATGTGATGGACCCAAAGCTAATCAGTGTAAATTTTTCAAGTGGCTTGAGGAAGAGACTCCAGGATTTTCATCACAGAAAGAATCTCAATCTGGCTTGGTTTTAAGTGATATGAAGAGTATTGGCTTATACTTAAGAAGTCAAAAGATACCACTGTATGAGGAATGTCAACTTTTGGTGAGGTAGGTTTGATGTTACCAAATAATTGTAATTACATCAGAATAGCAACTGTCATAATCAGTTTTAGAAGAGATTTAGATAGGAAAATCATCTAAAAGAGTCCTTCAGTTTCTATAACTGTAAAATGTGTCTTTCAAGTTATTTTGGCACCCTCTAAATGTCCAGCAGTGTTAGCAATACCAGGATACTACTTTTGCAACCATTTTTATGTATAGTCTAGGTTATTCACAATCCTAATGGAAACCCTGTCAAACAAACTTCAGGAATAATTTTTAGCAGTACAGGATAATAGGTAAGTGATCATTCACAAACCTGAACTTCATAGTTTATAAAATGATAGAATTTTCTTTTTAAAAATATGTCTTATAAAGGTGAGATTACTCAAAAACTAAATGTAGTGATCATTCACATGATAATTTAATTAAAAATTATTGAGATGTTACTTATACCATGCTGTCTTCTAAGTGCTTGCCAGGTTCTTTTTCTTCCTTTTTTATTTTTTAAGATTTATTTTATTATTAGAAAGACAGAGTTTACAGAGAGAGGTAGAGACAGAGAGGTCTTCCATCCCATGGTTCACTCCCAAAATGACCACAACAGCCAGAGAGCTGACCCAATCCAAAGCCAGGAGCCAGGAGCCAGGAGCTTCTTCTGGGTCTCCCATGTGGATTCAGGGGCCCAAGGACGTTGGGCCATCCACTGCTTTTGCAGGTACATTATCAGGGAGCTGGATCAGAAGTGGAGTAGCCCATATGGGATGGTGGCGCTGTAGGCCCAAGCTCTAACCCACTGCCCCACAGCACTGGCCCCATAATCTATTTCATTAAATCATCAAAATGAGGGCTGGTGTTGTAGCACAGCAGCTTAAGGTGCCATCTGCAAAGCTGGCATCCCATATGAACACTAGTTCAAGTCACAGTGGCTTTGCTTCTGGTCTAGTCCTCAGCTAATGTGCCTGGGAAAGCAGCAGAAGATGGCTTGAGTCCTGCACCCAAAACCCAGATGAAGTTCCTGGCTTTGGGCTGACTCAGCCCTGGCCATTGTGGGGAGTGAGCAAGTGGGTAGAAGATCTCTTTGCCTTCCCCTTTCTTTCTCTAACTCTGTCTTTCCACTAATAAATAAAATATTTCAAAAACAAATAAATAATCACAGTAATCTGTAAGAAATGGAGATAATGAGAATAAGCTACTATTCCCTTTTTACAGTTACAGAAACTGAGATGTTATATCTTTTTGATACTTTTCCTGGCTCTCTTAAAATTGATGACAGTTCTGTGAAGGTTGTTATTTTCTTCCTTTGACAGAATATATTTTGTATGTGTGTATGAAAGTATATAAACACAAACAACCCTGGTCCTTTTGTTTTCATACTGTATTTTAAAGATTTTTAAAAAATCTTTATCTTAATATTCATATTCATTTTTATTCTTTCTTCAGAAAAGGATTTGATTTTCAGAGAAAGCATGGGAAACTAAAGAAGTTTACTGTAAATCCTGAGTTTTACAGTGAATCAAAAAGCAGAATTTATCTTAAGCTGAGTAGGAAAGAATGTTCTTCAGTGTATAGCAAAGGTAAGTTGACCTGATCATGTTGGTGATTCAGTTTTGCTTAGTATCTCTGTTACATGTAGCTCTACAAATTCTTTATATTAAATTTAATTTTTACTTATTTTTTATTCTTAAAGATTTATTTATTTATTTGAAAGGCAGAGTTACAGAGAGAGAGGAGGAGAGATAGAGAGATATCTTCCATTACTGATTTTTTCTCCAAGTGGCCACAATGGCCGGGACTGGGCCAGCCTGAAGCCAGGAGTCCTTTATTCTGTCTTGGTCTCCCACATAGGTTCAGGGGCCTAGAGACTTGAGCCATCTTCTGCTGCTTCCTCAAGCACATTAGGAAGGAGCTGGATAAGAAGTGGAGCAGCTGAGACTCAAATTGGTACTCACATGGGATGCTGGCATTGCAGACTGTAGCTTAATCCAGTACACCACAATGTTGACCCCAAAGATAATTTTTAAAGTATAGTTTAATAGTAATATATATTGTAAATTATTAAGTTAGACCTTTTCTAAAAGATCTTGTTAAAATTTTAAGACTTTTTAAAAAAATTTACTAAGAGAATACCAAAAGATGTTTAATTTTGTTTAAAATATACATGAAGTTCTTGTCATCAAATGAATAAGTATATTGATTCAGCTGTACTCTGATAACATAAAAAATAAACTGAGATTGTAATGAGTGTATTGATCCTTCTTTTAGAGTCTGCACAGTTTGATAATATTAGATTGCAAATTTTGTGTATTTGGAAAGTGCTTTAAAAATAGTTTTTTAAAAGACCTTAGGTGTGCAAAATTGGATTAATCATTATCTTTGATGTATGACTTATTCTTGTTATTAGTTATCAAGCAGCTTATTTTTATGTAGTTAAGTGTGAACCCATAATCAAAGCAAAATCTAGTACCTTTCTATCATCATGTTATTAGGGATGGGCATTGTAGTGCAGCAGATTAAACCACTGCTTGGTACACCCACATCCCATATCAGAGTGCTGGTTCAAGTCCCAGCTACTCTACTTCCAATCTCACTTTCTACTAACGTATCCTGGGAGGCAGCAGATAATGGCTCAAGTGTTTGGGTCCCTGCCAACCACTGGGAAGACCTGGATGGAGTTACTGGCCCTCTCTTTGACCTGGCCTAGTCCTGGCTGTTGTGAACATTTGAAGAGTGGACCAGCAGAGAGAAGCTATCTCTGTCTCTATCACTTTGCCTTTCAAGTAGATGAAAAATAAATAAAAAATTAAGTAAAAAAAAGTTAAAGCACCACTATTTAACTTAAAGTAATCCTACTAACTCATCTGTTTGTCCCTCCTAATCCAAGGTAATTATTTTGATTGCTGTATTCATCAACATTTTGCTTTCTTTCATATGTAGTTTTATATAAATGGATTTCCAAAAAGCATATTTAAAATTTTTAGTTTTCTTAAGCCTTATTAAAATGATATCAGTCTGTTTGTAGTCTTTTGGAATTTACCTTTTTACTTAGTATATTGCTACAAGTTATCCATATTATTTGATACTGGTCTACAACATAAAATCTAGATTAATATTTTGACTGCATAATATTTTAATCTGTGAATATGCCATAGTCCATTCATTCAATCACTGATGGCTGTTTGAGTTTCTAAGATTTGCCATCCTGCATAGTGAACTATGAATGTTTTTGTATTGTCATAGATGTGCAAGAGTTAGGTATACTCTAGGAATGAAAATGCTGTGTTAACAGGGTATGAAAATGTAACACATCTTTAGATTGTAGTACCAAACTGATTTCCATAGTGATCATATCAACTTATACTCCTGCTATCAAAATGGGAGAGATCCTATAGATTAACCTACTCAGATGCCTATAAAATACTACTCTTGTGGTTTTAGTTTGCTCACTGATGATGTTGAAATGCTCTTCAAGTATTTATTGGGTTTTTAGTAACTTTTTTATTTATATAGTTTATTTAGTCTTCAGATTAATTCTTTGTTGACCATTTATATTGTGAATGTCTGCTTAGCTTTAGATAAACAAAAGTCCAGACTAATTAGTCCTTTTTATGACAGTGCTTTTTTGTATCTTATTTTTTAAGTTTTTCCTAGATCTAAAATAATTCTGTTAAGTTTTCCACTGCTCTAAAGTTTGTTTCATTTTTAAGACTTATTTTATTTATTTGAAAGGTAGAGTTACAGGGAGAGGTAGAGACAGAGAGAGGTCTTCCATCTGCTGGTTTACTCCCCAAATGGCTGCAATCACTGGGACTGGGCCAGGCCAAAGCTAGTAGCCAGGAGCTTCTTTTTGGTCTCCCACATGGATGCAGGGCCCAAGGACTTGGGCCATTCTCCACTGCTTTCCCAGGCACATTACCAGGGAGCAGGACAAGAATATGGGATGCTGGCACTGCAGTCTGAAGCTTTAACCTTCTGTGCAACAGCACCAGCCCTAAAGTTTTGTCTTGACATTTAAATCTTCAATCCATTTGGAATAGATTTTTTTTTTTTAGTATGTGGTATGAGATAGGGATTCAGTTTAACCTTTTTCTTTTTAATTGTTGGTTTTACTAGAATAGTAACCATTTTAAAATTTATTTGGCAGGGGGTAGAGAGAGAGAAAGAGAGAAAGGGAGGGAGAGAAAGACATATCTATAGTGTGTGCTCCCATTTACCAGTTCACCTTTAGATACCTGCAGTGGTTGAGGCTGGGCTAGGACCAAAGGTGAGAGCTGGGATTACTAATTGGTCTTCCAAATGGGTAGATAGGAACCTGATTACTTGAGCTATCACTGCTGCCTCCCAGGATTTGCATTAGCAAGAAGCTGGAGTTAAGAGCTGGCACCAGGACTAGGTACTTTGATGAAGGACATAGGTATCTTAACCACTAGGCCAACTTCTTGCTTCCAGTAACCATTTTTTAATTGATTAGTCCTTTTTTTTTTTAATTTTAATCTGGAATGCTAACTCTGTCAATTAAGTTCATAATACCATGGGCCTAATTCTGGACGGACTCTCTCTCTCTCTCTCTCTCTCTATATATATATATATATAATATTTACTTATTTATTTGAAAGAGTTAAAGAGAGATCTTACATCCACTGGTTCACTCCCTGGATGACCCCGAAGGCCAGAGCTGGGCCACGCTAAAGCCAGGAGCCAGGAGCTTCTTTCAGGTCTCCCACATGGGTGGCAGGGTTCCAAGCACTTGGGCCATTTTCTGCTGCTTTCCCAGATCACTGACAGGGAGTTGGATTGGAAGTGGAGCAGCTGGGACACGAACCAGTGCCCTTATGGGATGTTGGCATTAAAGGCAGTGGCCTTAGCCACTGTGCCACAACTCTGGCCCCTGGTTTGTGTATTTTATTCTACTGGTAAAATGGTATATCTTTGTACCACTTCCATGCTGTCTTAATTCCTATACTTTTTTTTTTTTTTTTTTTTTTGGACAGGCAGAGTGGACAGTGAGAGAGAGAGAGAGAAAGGTCTTCCTTTGCCGTTGGTTCACCCTCCAATGGCCGCTGTGGCTGGCGCGCTGCGGCCAGGCCAGCGCACCGCGCTGATCCGATGGCAGGAGCCAGGTGCTTCTCCTGGTCTCCCATGGGGTGCAGGGCCCAAGTACTTGGGCCATCCTCCACTGCACTCCCTGGCTACAGCAGAGAGCTGGCCTGGAAGAGGGGCAACTGGGACAGAATCCGGTGCCCTGACCGGGACTAGAACCTGGTATGCCGGCGTCGCAAGGCGGGGGATTAGTCTAGTGAGCCGCGGCACTGGCCCTATACTTTCATAAATACTGATATAGATAATACAAGCTTCCCCTCCCTGTTCTGTGATGTAACCTGGCTATTCTTGGCCTTCCACTCTTCCATTTGTCTTAGAATCATCTATTAAGTTTTGTGAAAAAAATTTGTTGGGATTTTGGTTGAAATTGTATATAGTTGAAGAGGAATGACATCTTTAAAATATTTTAAGAGATTTATTTATTTATTCAAAAGGTAGAGTGACAGAGGGAGAAACAGGGGACATTTTTCATCTGTTGGTTCTCTATCCAGATGCCTACCACAGCCAGGGTTGGGTCAGGCTGAATCCAGAATCCAGGATGTGGGTGGCAGGAATCCAAGGACTTAGGCCATTTTCTGTTGCCTCCCCCACATCAGTAGGAAACTGGATTGGAAATAGAGGTAGAATGCAGTCCCAGGTACTTTGATATGTTTTGTGGACATCCCCCTGATAGCTTAACCTGCTGCACCCCAACACCTGCTCCTACGATCTTCTTCTATCTTAATCTATCTGGAGGTGTATATTTAGGTTATTAATATGGAAGCTTTCTTCTTTCTTCTTGCCTATTTTGAAAAATTTTATTTATTTAAGAGGCAGAAGGAGAACAAGAGCTCCAACCCATCAGTTCACTCTTCAGATGCTGAAAACATCTGTGACTGGGCCAAGCTGAAGCCACAGAAGAGAATTCTATCCAAGTCTCCCATGTAGAGGCAGGGACCCAAGTACTTGAGTAATCACCTACTACCTCTCAGGGTGCACATATTAGTAGGAGACTGGAATCAAGAGCAGAGCCAGGACTCTTATATGGGATGCAGGAATCCCAGCTAGAGCTTTCCTTTTATATAATTGTGAAGGTGGTAAATTTCCCTCAAAGTATCATTCTAGTTTTGCTGAAGTATTTTTTCATTATAATTCAGATTGTTTTAGATTTTTTATGATTTCTTCTTTAATTCATGAGTTCGTTGGCATCTATTTTAATATTCAAATATATAGAGAATTTCTGTTATTTTTAAAGTTAACATCTGACTTAGTTACAGTATAGGCAGAGTCTTTTTTTAATTCATTAAAGTTTTCTAAAATTTTTATTTATTTGAAAAAGTTACAGAGAGAGAGAAAGAGAGAGAGAGAGAGATCATCTCATTTGCTGGTTCACTCCACAGTTGACCACAATGGTCAGAGCTGAGCCAGGCTGAAGTGAGGAGCCAGGCGCTTCATCTACATGTCCCGCATGGGTGGCAGGGGCCCAATCACTTGGGCC